CAGTGTAAAATTAACAATGGATTGGCTAGAAAAAGGTTACAGAACACTAACCAAAAAAAAAAAAAAAAAAAAAAAAAAAAAAAAAAAAAAAGGTTTAGAATGAAATTCTGAAAAGAAATGCATTCTGGAAACATCGTGTGCTTGGAAACACAATTAGAAAATACTGTCATCAGAGACTGCTGAGCGTGATTGCCAGGGAGCTTCCTGGACTGAGCATCTGCAGGGGCGTGGGTGTCTGCTGGCTATTCATACTGTGGCAAAGTGGAGAACCTAGATCACTTTAAAAAGTTACAGATGGACAGCTTTTGAAACAAAATACTTGAAAATGTATTCCTCCGTCCCTCAGGTCTGATTTAAGAGGGTTTGATTTTGTTCTGTCTTCTGAGTGCAAAGTGTAATAGTCCGTGTCTGCACACTTTCTCCTTTGTTGGAGGGAAGGGAGACCTTTTCTGAAGGAATTTGCAGAGCCAGCGTTGTTAGGCCTGTCCAGCTGAGCAGCAAAAGAAGCCAGAGAGAGAGAGGCACTTTTAAAAATGAAGTTACGTAAATTCCTGCTCTACTTAAGAGGTGATTTAGACCAGTATAAGAGATTCCTCACAAACCGTTATTTCCCTTAGATCACCAAAGCCTGTAGTTTATGGGAAATGAAATTCATTTTTGTTTGCTTTTCTCACAGATGCCAAGATGAGTGTCCAGTGGGGACTTATGGAGTGCAGTGTGCTGAGACCTGCAAGTGCATGAATGGTGGGAAGTGTTACCATATTAGTGGTGCCTGTCTCTGTGAACCAGGATACACCGGAGAGCACTGTGAAACAAGGCTTTGCCCAGAGGGAATTTATGGTCTCAAGTGTGATAAAAAGTGTCCCTGCCACATGCCCAACACCTGGAGGTAGGCTTTACACCCTTTAGCCTCTTTTCTATTTCATTATAGAACGTAGAAACCCGAATATAATCTGAAAATAAGTATTTCCTGATTTTTCTAGTACTTTCACACAAACTGAAGACTTGTAAGAGTATTTGATATTCTCTAACTGTATCAAGAAAGAAAATATCAACCCAAGAGACCACGAACTTTAGTGCTTGCAACTGTATTTGATCTTAATATTCACTGCTGTATTTGGTTTCTGATCCATGAAATAAATGTTAAGACAAAGTATGACCTTTGTCTATATTTACCACATGAATAAATCATTATATTGTTCACGATATAAAGTCAGTATACATCATACATCCCTCACATATTTTGGTGTAGAGGAAAAATAATTGAATTGAGATCAATAGCTGTATAGTCTTATGAGTCGGGCATGAGAGGAGAATCCATTTTTCTCTCTCTCTGTTTACAAATATAATAATAGATGTAGGTGACTAATATATATTTTAATATATATTTACTATATGTTTTAAAATTTCTGAAGCCTTGTCAGTTGTAAATCTAGGTTTCAAAAATACTTTTTTTTTGGTCATTTAAATGATTTTTCTGGAAGGCAGATAAAATCTGATCCCTGGAAATTGAATGAAAATAGTTTTCCAGTTGGCTTACCTTTTACCATCTCTCCTTACTCAGGCAGTAACAAGACCTGTTTTTTTCAGTTTTGTGTGTCTTTTGTGGATTTCACAGTGTTTCAGCATATTGTTATGAATATTTGGAGACAAACTCTCAGCTGTGAGGGAGGAATGTCAGATGTCAGTCGAGGGGAGCCAACATATTTATAGAACAGTTCTGGACAGCTTTCTCTTGTTACAAAACACAGTTATTCTGGTGAAATAGTATTGTTATTGTGCATTTCACTTACATGTTTACTTACACATTCATTTACACTTAATTGCATTACTAATCACAGTACTTTAGATAAGGTTTGTGAGCATAACCTAAAATTTTGCTGTTGAAAATAGCTGTGAAAGAAATCTGCAGAAACTATTGACTGTCACATGGAATGCTGCTGTGTGTGGTACATAAGATGCACTTTTCCTCATAGATAAAACAAAAGCCTTCAGTCAGAATTTAGGACTGATATTAAAGCACTCAAGCACATACACGGAAATACCTATTCTGTTAGAGCTCTGTGAAGAATTACTTTGTGGATTGTCTGAGTTGTTCAACATACCTTTCATTGACAAACCATGTGACAGCAAACTGAATTATTTTCCCTTTCCATTCATGTGATTTTACAGTTGTGTGCTTGCACTTCTGTTTTTCCCATTTACTTGAAATGTCTTTTGAAAAAATACAGTTTTTGACATTAAACCAAGCAACTAATTCTTTGTGCAATGCATTCAAGAATAAATGGCACCATACTGCTGACCTGTCTAGCTCTCAAATTATGCTAGTAGACCAGATACTATTGCATTATGAATTACGGTTAGCCGCTTTCCTGAAAATTTGTCTGCAGACTCTTGTAGCAGCCTTGTTTGACAGGAGTGCATTGCACTGTATAGTATTTCTGATATTACAGGGATTACTTCTGATTCATGTTCAACACAGCTGTTCCTTCATTTATACCGCTGGAAGACAACTTGTGGTCAAATGAGATCACAAATGTTCACATGTAAACAGCAGCATATGGCTGGTCCTTTTTTGAACATTTTCTCTTCTATATGACAAATCAGAAGGCGCTTCACAACCCTGTAGGTGCAGGAGCAGGTTTGCAAGGGCAAAATGATCTGTGAGGAAAACAAACATTTTCATGACTTCACAACTGTGTATTTCATATATAGGGCCAGGAAGTGATTAACCCACCAAATAACAGGAATTGAAAGGTATAGAAGACAAAGCTCCCTGCGTATACTTTATGCTTTTGAGAAGCCAGTTGTGGCTGACTGTCTTCTTCTCTCACTAAATATCAGTCAGCCAGGAGACATCTTTTTAAGCACATCAGGGAATATCCTCATCCTTTACTTGCCTACCACAAGTACTGTTTGGGCTGGCTATAGCCAAAAGGATCTTCTTCAAAGCACTAACCCATTTAGCAGCAATATAACAACCAATAATTCCAGAACACAAAAAAAGGGAGCGCAATTCCTTCAAACATGCTTAGTGTGCCTGTATTCTGTATCTTCTGTGTCTGTTTTCTGATAGGACCTCTAGGAGCCTTCATATCATAAAAGCTTTTTTCATCTGGGTATGATCACAACTTCAGATGTCCTTGAAGGGGAGCTGTTGGTAGTCTCAGAGCCCTAGGTTATTACTTACATTTGTAGTATTCATAGATATGGAAATGAACTAAAGATTAGTTAAAAAAATACATAGCACCAAAAAGTACTGCTTTAAAATATGTGCACATAAGTTGCACTACACAAGTATGTGTCTAGCCATTTTCTTCAAACACTTAAAGATAGAAAAACACTATGGTGCACCATGCTTCGAAAATGTATACATATTTCTGTAACTGTTTTAAGATTGAGGAAATTGCACCAAAACAACTTTAGCAATAACATATAATTTGTATTTTGGGTAGGCTAAGGTACAGGGATTTTGCTGCTGCTGTTGGCTGATGGCAGCTCCCAGGGCTGAAAGGCAAGCCCATCCTTGTTCTTAGTTTTATCAGCAGCCTTTACTAAATCTTTTTAAAGCGCTAGATATAGATATACTTGAGAGATTTTATTCTTTTTGAGGGGTCCAGAGGACAGCAGCAGCTAACAACCCTCTTGTGCCAAGAGTTTTTTCACAAATGGTTCTTCTCTATTGCATCTTTTGATATATATGAAAGGATTTGAACAAGAGTGGAAATCAGACACAGACCTGTTCTCTGTGACTAGGTGACAATATCGATTTTTCTGCTTTTACTCAATAGTCAAGAAAAAAACAAGAGTGAGCACTAGCTGGCTGAAACTAAGACCACATAAAAGACACTTCCTCAACGGGGTACCACAGCAGTGCTGTGGGCTGGTATGAGCAGACCCAGTGACCCTGCCACTTCCATCCACAGTTTGTGGGGCTTACAGAAACTTGTCATTCTGAAGACACAGTTTGCAGGAATGAGTAAAAAAGACCTTGGTCTGCTTTAATCAACATTGTGATTTCATTCTGTATATGAATGTTCTTCTAATCTAAATCACTTTTGGATTGGGTTTTGTCATGCCTTTACTCAAGCGATGATCATTCAGAAAATGTAAAAAGGGCAGACTGTAGTTGCATATTTATCTATAAGGTTTGTAAAGGATATCTCTTATACCTGTGTGACAGCATGTGCACCCATTTCAGGTTGATCTCCAAGCTACATTTGAGATGTCCCTGTTTTTTTTGGTGGTGGGGTTTTTTTCTTAGGGTTTTTTTGGGTTGTTTTTTTTTTTTTTTTTTTTTAATAAGGCTGTGTAAAAGCATAGGTTTTTAATCATTCTTTTATCATTGTCTAGTCAAGCAGATTTTACCCTCTTTCAACTTGCATTTAATGTAACAGGGGCTTTGAAAAACCTGCTGTACTTTAATTGGACGTGTAGTTGGTATATGCTGCACAAATTTTTTTTGTGTTGTTTTTTTTTTTTTTTTTTTTTAATAAGCTCTTCCTGGTGATCTTCCACCACTGCTTCACACCTGTAGGTAAGATCAGCTAGGGTCATTCTGTATCATGAACTAATTTGGTATAGGAACAATTCAGGTTGGAATAGGGTTTATTAATCACATGAACTCTAACGGGGTTTCTTTTGTCTCACGCTTTTTCTGAGATACATATATCATTTTGCGTGGAATTTTAACGTGTGATACATGCTAAGTTCATATAGTCTGGGTTTGTTTTTAAAGTCAAGACGAGGGCATCTTGTAATTTTTCATCATTATAATGGACTTGTATGCACATGTACAAGAGCTTTTAGTGGAAATTTTATATTGCATAAGGTGCTACAGAATTTAGTTGGCTATTGTAATAATTAAACCCCTATACAAATCATATGAAAATCATTATGTTCATCTAAGTCTTTCAAATGCATAATATCAGCTAGCCACAAGTATTTTTTTTTTCTCTGTACAGAGGAGGGTTTTATTTCCAGAAAGTGTAAACAAAAGACCAGGAGCGAAAGCGGATGTAGTGGCAGTATCTCTCACAACATCTCTTTATTTCCCTATCTTAATACCTAAACCTTATTGCCAATTAATCTAACTGCATGAGAACCCATCAAAAAGCCTCAGAAGTGCTCTAGCTTCCTACATCTAATTACAAATTACGGAATACTAATTTTGGTGTCAATCAATGTATGTGCAAGTATGCCTTAGTAACACTCACTGGGGGGCACAGAATATCAATGCCTCTGCTTCATACGCAATGCTTGTTCATGCATGTGGTCTCTCCCTCTCCTGAAAGGAAAAAAAAAACAACAACAAACAATCCTGGGATTTATGTCTTAAAATGACAGTACTACTAATTTTGTGTTATAAATATATTATATTTCAAATCCTAATGACTATTCAGTTGTGGACTGAAAAGTCTTTTCATGTTCCCTGCCCTGTATTCTTCCACTGATAAGAAACACAGGAATTGGCCACAAAACGGTACTGGATACCTACAGGAATGTTTGGAATAGGGAACAAATCTGTTTATCTTGCTGCATCATGTGTTTTCATAATGTTTCATGTATTTTATATGACAATAGTTTCATTCCAACATATTTCATGGCAGGTATACTTAGAACTAAACAAATAACCGGGACTGTTGCCTTTGAGCACCATGAGTTTTGAACCATTTCTGCATATATCATTTAGTTGAAAAGATCTTGCCTCTCACTTTATGGAAACTAGCTTAATACTGTCAAAGAGATTTTAGTATCTTCAAGACCCCCAAATCCTAGTGCTACCATAGCGTATGCAATAATATATATATAGCAGAACACTTTTCAGCCTTTATAATTCAAAATTTCCTTGATCAGCAGTATGTTGTCAGTTGCTTGCATTTGGCAATAGGAAACTCTTAGTTTGACAAGAGTTGTCCTTGAGTCCAAGAACAGTTGCAACTAATATTACCTTGTTACATTGCAACTTTTTCAAAGAATATTGTTGTTTCTTATGTTCTAGCCCCTGAAAGTGCAGTAATTATTTTTTGCAAACTTTCAAATGGTCAGAAAAGTACTCCATTTCAAACACACCCCCACACAGGGAGTCAGCAAATCTTGCAAAATCAGGCTCTTGTCATGGGTCATTTAATACGAGTGGACGAAGGCACGTTTTTCTTCCAGCACCCTTCAAGGAACTTCAATCAGTGGCAGACAAATATATTTAAACAGTCTTCCCATTGTAAATATATTAAGGCTTTCCTTTGGTGAGAATTAAGCAAGTGCTTTGTCTGCCAGAGTGCTACAGAGTACCCCATTGTGTCCACTTTTCCAGCACATACATCTTTGCACAGCTGATGATGTCCATTTGTTATGAGGCAACAGCTGTCTGACTGGCCCTTCAATGAAACTGCTGTTCCAGGTAGGGACAGCTGGTCTGTCACCAGGTATGGCCAACACAGGGGAGATACTCTCCAAAAGGTCACTGCTCTGATAGTATTATCTGACTTCTGCCCAATGCAAATGATTTTGTATCATTCCCTGAAAGGTGACAGTTTTCCTCTTTTCAACCCACGATTTAACGAAGAGAGCGTACTTGCTACTCACTGGGTGCTGTGTTATTGTTTTGTATTGGCTGCCATGCTGTTTTGCTGAAGCATCATATTTCTCAGATAATATGCTGCTGAGTTTGGGCAGTGTTACAAAAATGATCCTGTTACACTTGGAGTGGGAAGATAACAATATATTTTGGGGAATTTGGGGGATGGTTTCATCACCTTAGTATGTGTAAGCATATATTTTATGGTAAAAGCTGGTATTTCAGATAGATTTCTTTTCAACTAGCTGTAGAAAACAGCTCTTCTTTTCTTTCCATGTGCTCCCAAAAATGTCTATACGTTGTATGATGTTACATTTCTTATCTTAATTGGCATGTGTTTATGTATACATCTACAGAACCCTTTGCTTTGTGGTTTGGGGAGTAAAACCACCTCTATGCATAGCACGCAAGATCCGTCACGCAACCTATCTATAACAGCATTTTGTTCTCTGGGGAAAAAAAAAAAGAAAAAAAAAAAGAGTCATGTTTGGTCCTGAATTATTTATCCTTTCATCCCCTCCCGGCAGCTGTCACCCTATGTCTGGGGAATGCTCCTGCAAGCCTGGCTGGTCTGGGCTCTACTGCAACGAGACATGTTCCCCGGGATTCTACGGCGAGTCGTGTCAGCAGATCTGCAGCTGCCAAAACGGGGCTGACTGCGACAGTGTGACTGGAAAATGCACCTGTGCCCCTGGATTTAAGGTAAATAAGTCTCACTTTCACAGTCCATTTTCGACTCCACTGCCTTTAGTTAAGTGCCAAATTCTTCAGGATGCCAGAGTCTTCACCACAGTAAAGGGGTAAGGGTATTTAGGTACCACTAGCTGTGTTATAAGACCCTAAAAAGGAAAAATTTGTGATTGATTATCAGTGCTAAAATTAAGCCATTTTAAGAAAGAAAAGTTAGTTGCTTTGTGAGACATTGATAAGAATGAGAGTATTCTGTTGAAGTGTAAATAGAGGGAGCAATGATAATTTTCCGTCATTATCTTCTTGCACCAACTCCTCCTGCTCCATCCAGAGAAACTCTAGACAAAGTTTAGACTGATTATTCTGCAGCTTTTACACACTTTTGCTGTTATCTGTGCACTGAATGCTAATCTAACAGAAAACATTTTAGAAGATGGCTGCTCTTCTAGGAATAATAACTGTGAAAACTTCAGCCAGATAAATTCTTAAAAATATTTTATATATCCACATTATTTTCCATTAAATGGATGTCTTACTGTGTTTTGGTTTCATAAAGGGCTTCTTTATTACTGAAAATACTGTCCATAGATCTTACCAGCTTCTATCAGCTATGTAATCTGAGCCCTCACAGCAACTAATAGAAAACTAATGCTTACTGTAAACTTAAAAAGTTTTTTAAAAAGTCTCCCTTAAATTCAGGATAACTTAGTGACAGCCAAGGGCAGTCATGGGCTGCACATTTTCTGGCTTTTGTAGCACCTGAGTCAGGCTGCGTTATTTATTAGTTCTATTGTCTGAACCTCCTCAAATAGTTTTTAGACTCTGGTTTTGTATAACTCAGGGTGCTTCTTGTGGTACACCTTGTCTTCCGGGGACATATGGAGTAAACTGTTCATCTGTGTGCAACTGCAAAAACGAAGCCATCTGTTCACCAGTAGATGGTTCTTGTGTTTGCAAAGCAGGTAAGTGCCTCTTCAGATTAATTTTCTTTTTCTGTAATCATAAAATGAAATTGAATTTTTGAAGTAGAGAAGAAGAAAGAAACTTAATAAAAAGCAGACCCCTTTAAGGGCCATATCACTAGATACTTTATGCTTCTGCTGCTCTGGGAGGTGAAAACTAGGAAAACATCTGCTCAGAGAAGAGTGAGCATACCTTGTGTTCGTGTTTCCTCAGTCAGTTCTTAGTGGGCTGGATACTGTGGCTGCGCAAATTACTAATGTTTACCCTGAGGTGGGCCACCACTTGCCTCTTGTGGCAGTTCTGTGGTCTGCTAGAAGGACTACTGGTATGCCATTTATTTGATGTCAACGTTTTTAGTCAAAATACTGAGCCCTGGTTCCCCTCAGCCTGGGTGAGCACCACCTCTGGCTGTCACACTCACCCCTCACAGAGGCACAGGCTTCTTCCTGCCTGTTTAGCGCTGACGTTGATATCTACTGGCAATTTTATCTGTTTGATTACTCTTTTCCTCAACGATTCTCTGAAAAAAACTTGTCTTACCCTCTTCCCAGCCCGTGCCCTCTGCCGTTCCCTGCTTCCATGAGAAACTTTTCGAATCTCCCGGTATTAGTGTGAGTGGACTCGCGCTCCTCAGTCCCTCTGCCTGTCTCTCTCCTCTCCTCTCCTCCCAAGAGTATTTTGATGGCCAGCTTACCTCCACCAGAAACTGTATGTGTGTGCCCACCTCTCCTGCTCCCAGTAGCGCATGCCTTTGGGTGGAACAAAGATATCTCAGCCATCCTCTAGCTCTGGTTCGGCAGAGATCTTCTCCCATATAAAGGTCTACAAGTCCACATGGTGTTCCTGTTCAAGCCAAAATCAGCTGCTAAACTCCACTTGAAAATCCACTCTTGCAATATGCCTGTTCTCCTTTTCACTTCTGCTGTGAGGAAGGATTTAAAATCCAGTGTCTCTCAGCTGTGATGCTGGATTTCTGAGAAGAGAGGGGCAGGCTGTTGAATGCTACCAAGCAAACCCCATGCCCAGCCTACACTGCAGACCCATCCATCTGAAAATGCTTGTCTGAAAATATATGAAGGTTGAGAGTGGGAGAGAAGTGTTAGTTACCTAGACAAATATCTACTAAATTTGTCAGGGACTGACACAATTATATCAGTCGTGTAGTGAACCTGGAGAGTTCCCAGCTTATACTCTTGCCAGAGACAATGGAGCTGATTTAACTCTATTAAAGCAGCTACTGCTAAGTAGCTAGGTTGTGAGGAGATAAAACTATTCCTCGAGCCATGCATAGCCTGTCTTCTTGTGCATTTTGCAGTTTTAGTCATACTACAATGAAAAAGGACAGCAAATGGCGAAGATGAAGTAAGCCCAGATACTTGTAATGTAAACTAAGGAAATTTATAAATCCTGGAAAGACATTCGAGAGAAAGTGTCTTGATTCTCTAGCTAGTATAGTATAACATTTTTTTCCTGAAATGACCCCTAGATTCAAAATTATCAGTCCAGGGCATGAGGCAGTTTCATTTCAATACATGTGTTTTGTTTTGTCTATTGATTAGGCTCAGTGTGGAATTATTTTTCCCTTTGCTTACTGTACACAAGGTACAAAATTAGAAACTTGGCTTGTGTCATTGCTGATGATAACATATGACTGACTCACGTTGTTTCTCTTGTATCCAATAGATGATCACATTTTAAAAAATCTATTTTCATTTCTGTCTATCCAGTGCTCAGCCTGCGAATCGTTGCTATCAGGCATAATCAGTGATGAATGCTCCCTTTTAGAACTATTTTACATTGCATTCTTTCGTGGTTTTTTTTTTTTTTTTGTATTTGGAGAGAAGTACAGAAATCATGTAGAGGGTCTTCTATATATCCTTGGAGAAATCCGACTTAAGCATTACTTTCATGTTTTCTCTTTTTTTTTCGTGTCTAAGTTTTCTGTTAAAACCATATTGCAGAACTGTCTGTATTGAACACTGGTGGAAGAATTATGAATGCAGCAGCTTAAGTCTAGGGAAAATATTTCCAATTTTTTTTCAGGCTATGCCTTAAAACTTTTAGTACAGTTTAGTGCTTCTCAGAGAAATTTCAAGGTGTCTCTGTTTTCATTTCAGACCTCACATCAATTGCTTCTGTATGTTGGCACTAATCTGAAAATGTGTGCTGTGCACAGATGTTACAAGGTGCCCTTGAGCACCTTTGTTCAAACCTGGACAAGTCCTCAGCTGAAACTCCTGCCTGTAGTTGGTGTTACCCTGGTATTGTGCATCTCCGAGAGATGCCACGTGGTAGGCGGAGGGAAGTATGTCCTCAGAGAGGAACTGGGGGAAACGTGATTAATTTGTTACTTTACTTCTTATTTTTGGCAGGTTGGCATGGTGTAGATTGCTCGATAAATTGTCCCAGCGGCACCTGGGGACTTGGCTGTAACTTAACTTGCCAGTGTCTTAACGGAGGGGCTTGCAATGCTCTGGATGGAACCTGTACCTGTGCCCCGGGCTGGAGAGGAGAAAAATGCGAACTCCCTTGCCAGGTAGTTAATAATTTCACTGAATTTTACACTGTAGGATAATAATGGGTAGGGTGATACCTCTGTCATTCTTCTGACTTCATAGAGATAAGTCCCTAAGGAGCAGTGCAGCCGGGTAGCCCGTATTCAGCTGGGTTCAGGATCAGGGACATGCACCACCACCCAAAATGACTACACAAAATGAAGATGCACACATGAATACTTTTTCTGCTCTCACACTTTAATGTTGGACCTCAAAACTTTTCACCAGCTCCTTTAGAATTTGTTGAAAAAGACAGAACCAAATTTTCCCCTCTCCATCAGCATCAAATACTATCCAAACTGCTTCTGTTAAACTACTTTAAGTAAAAATGATGAGAGAAAAAAATATACCATAAATATATTCCACATGAAACAACATGATTTTAATTAAGTTAGGTTACATCTGTGGTAGAGTATGAAGGAAGAACTTTCATTTCTTCTCAGTCAGACATGAGAAGGCACTCTTGCTAACCAGTCCCATCACAGGTCTTGGCCTTTCTACTAGGGCTTTGACTTCCACTATCTCCTAGACTTTGAGAACTGCAAAATTTGAAATCATTCTGTAGACAAATGCACGCTCCTCATCAATTCTGTTCCATCTTGCAATCCGTTGTTTGGGAAAGCCATAAAAATACATAATGTAAGAAATTTAAAAATGGTAAAATTCAAAACTGATTTGGTTTATTATGTAACTGTCTGGTTTTTCATACAGAAATCATAGAATCATAAACTTTTTAAATACATTTCATACAAAAGAAAAAAAATATTTATGATTTCAGTTTTCTGGGAAATTTTTAACAAATTTTGTTTTTTAAATGAACTGCTCTACTTTTCCTCTCCACTGTCTTTCCTTCGCTTCTACAATACTATCTGCATAGCAGGTTGTTGGTTTAATATAATTGTAAAGAAGTTGACTGCACTGAACATAAAACTTGTAAATTCCCCTCTCATATTACTTTTAAGCTTCAGTCAGTTTGGACTAGCTGTACGGATTAATAATATAGTAGGAGTAACTCAACTACAACATAAGACTGGAAGCCACACCTTTGTTTTGAATGAAGAATTGCTGTGCTGAACTGCTCTCAGAATACTTAGAAGTTATTCTTGTTTGGTTATTTTTGGTTTTAAGATGAGGTATAGCCTTCACTGCTATAGTGAATAAAGCGGCAAATAAATTCTAAAATATTCTGGAAAGCTGATTACTGTACCATCTGTGCAACATTTATGCAGTGTTTCCAACAATGCATCTCCATCAGAAGACTAATTTTTCTTTTTTCTAAAGCAGCTTTGTTTATTACTTAGTGTCTGATTCTGAAGGATGATGAGATCTCCCAAGCTCCATTAGCTCTTCCAAAACTGACTTATTAAAAAAGATAGGTATTGTTTCATGGCATTTGCTTCACTGTTCCAAATTTCACAAAATAATGCTTAAAAGCATTTTTGTATCAGATAATTTTGTACACCCATGCTCCTTGTCTTGCTGTCTCTCTCTCTCTGTGTCAAATAATGTCCATAAGCTTTTACGTATTTCAAATGTATATTCTACCTCAAAATTCCAGAGCAGGAGAGTAAACAGAAAACTAATTAAAATGTGTTGAGTGTTTTCTGATATTTTTTTTTTGTTTGAGCACAGAATTTATTTGAATCAATGTATTTCTATTCGTTTCAATAACTTCAGAAAATTAATGGCACTGTCCAGATTGTTATTCAAGATTTCACTGAAGTTTAGACTTCAGTCCAAATACATAGCAGGCTAAAAATACTGCTTTTCAACAACATATTTGAGTATTTCCTTTCTTTCAAAATCTGGTTATATGCAAAGGAAATACTTAATCTTTTCTTTTTCTGTCTATAAAAATGTATTGTTGAGATGAGCAAAAGACTCCTTATAGTCAAGAAATATAAGATTTTGTTCCACTTTAGACTTGAAAGACTGGGAACTTAATAGCTAAAGCCTGTAACACTTGGTAGACATGAACATGAAAGAACAGCAAATGAATTTTCATCTCAGTTTTATTCTGATTTTTGATGTGACTGAAAGAATGTTTCACCCATAGGTAAATGGGTAAAACCCACTTAAAATGATTGGGGTTTAAACCTGACATGTTTTTTCCTTTTTTGTCTTTGTTGTGAGTAACCCCATTATTGTTACCTTAAATTATGGCATTTTTCCATGTTTTTTAATTTGTTTTTGACACTTTTTCTGTAGATCAATTTGCTGTTGTATTTTGACTTGTTTTGAGAATGCAATTGTAAAGATCTTGCTCTTTTCAGTTTCTCAGATTGTTTTTGTTTGGAATTACCCCCAAATGTACGTGCTACCTTTGGCAGAAGAAGCACAAAAGTCAAATTGAAACGTTTAGATATAACTCCATGAAAATCAGCTGAGCTCTTTTGGCACAGCTGAATACAGCAAGAGGGGTGTTCAACTTGTAACTTTAATGTCTCTTTTTGGTTTAAAAAACATTGCATAGCCAACTGTACTGTCTCATAGCCGAAGAGCTTCTCTTTTTAACACAGTATGTGCTGTAGCCCAGAGGGAAAGATTTTTAATCAAAGGAAAGTGATATAATTTGTATTTTTTATGCAGTAAACTTTACACTGAAGGTACATTTTAATCTATTGTTTTACTACTCTTCTTTTAGAAATTGTGGCTTTATGTGATATCCTTGTGACCAATATATATAGAGAGCTCAGGGTCAGAGGCAGAAAGAAGACTGAATTGCTTTCACATGGAGGGACCCCCAGGTCCTGGAGTAGGAACTTAACTGCAAGGGACATTACAGGGACAGTACAAGAAAGCTTTAATTGTAGCCTCTGCTAGTGTAGGTTACCGTGTTCTGAATAACTGTTTCCAGGTGCATTAGTCTGGGATTTCTCAAGAGAATGTAATTAATTCTCTATCTTCCCCTCTTAAATGAGAAACTGAAAATGCAGGACACTGAAATGTTCCAAAATCCAGAAGCGTTTTATATTAAGAAAGCAGATTATGGTTTCGGGAGAGATCTGTGGTTGCTTTTTGAGTCACAACTGACCAGAAGTTGTTCTCCACTAACTCTCAGTTGTCATCATCTCTGGGTTGTTTGTTGTTTCTTCTCTTGCCACAGGACGGCACGTACGGTATGGATTGTGCTGAACGCTGTGACTGCAGCCATGCGGATGGTTGTCATCCCACCACGGGTTACTGTCGCTGTCTGCCGGGATGGTCAGGTACAAAAGACACCCTCGTGAAGGACAAGGAGAGCTTCCACTGTGGTGGGACTTGGTCTTGCCTTTGGGTTTTGTGGGGAGAGAAGGAGCATGTGGGGTTGGAAGGAGAAAAGGGCCAGTTTTGTGGCTGCCGTGTCCCTGCTATGATTCACAGGCATGGAAACTTTGTCGAGTGTGGGATCCACAGAAAACTGTGAATAGAAGGAGAAATCTTAAAACTGAGGTGCCTCCACAGTATGATTCCTTATGGAAGTGGTGAATAAGTGTAGATATTGAAGGTTGTGCTGGAAGCTTTAGTAGGTAAAGCATCATGTCCAGAAACTCAGAAAGCTTTGCTCAGGCAGCCAAAAAGAGGATAAATTGTGCAGAAGTTTTGCTGCCATTTGAGTTTCTCAAACTTTTGAAAAAAATTAAATTTCTCTGCACATATTTTGTTCTGTTTGAAAATTCCTGCACCTTTCTCACAAAGGTTCTCCATCATATTCATTGTGGTTTTAAGAAATACAAATATTTAATTATTCATAAAAACTTGTGTTTGACACTGTTGTGTCTTCCATCTTCAGTAAGGATTTATTGACACTATAAGTTTGCCCCTCTTGGAGTGTTCTGGGTTTTGTGTCTCACAGTGATACTGCAGTGTTGCAAGGGTCAGATTTGGTGTCACTGGTCTGTAAGGAGTCCTTCTGTTTAATAGTGAAAAGACAGTATGAAAAACATACCTTAAATGAACACAGCATGTTTCTGCTGTGAAAAAGGAGCTGAATTTTTTGTTATTTCAGATATCTGAAACCTAATACTATTTATTATCCACTCACTCATTTGTAAATTAACATTTGTAATAATTGGCTTGCAGGTTCATGATATAATTGTTTTCTTTTTTTTCTCTGGTGCTTCCAGAGAAAGTAGATGGAGGTGAGAACACACTCTGCAGCGAATAATTTCTTTGACAAGTTTATCAAGTTGTTATGCCCACGAAAGTTTGTGCAGAGCTTATGAATTCCTCAGATACAGTCTTTCAGTTCCCAAACTTTGATTTTTATATGCTTTTTTCCCCCATAACTTTGTAAATGGATCACAAGCTTTTTGTTCAAAGTACGTAGGACTCTGTGCCTGCAGTTTGGGTTGATTAATTGTGACAGCTTACCTGGTGTTTCTTCTATGTTCTCTTCAGATGAACAAGACTTTTATGAATATTGGGAAGTAGGAAGTGGAAATCCAGGTGATACAGATGTGGGCAGGAAGGGCTCTTGCTTTGCTGTGGAAGACCAAACCCATTTCTTATTTGTGCAATTTTCCTGTCTATTAAGCTTCTGCCAACTTCTTTGAGAACTCACCCTTGGGTCTCCCTTGTTGTCACTCTTTTCCGTATGAAAGAGAGAGGCTTCCAGAGCCAGCACTCACCTAACGGAGCCAGGAGTTTGTTGGTTTTATTCTCTTCCCTCTAGCTGCAGTGTGACTTACCACCAGCCACTCACATACCTCTGAGAAATGACTACCACAAGAGCGCAAAAATAATAAAAGTTAGTTGAGCAAATTGCAAAAAAATAGTATTAGCAATATGCCACCTATTACTATTTTATGACGCTACTTTGTGTTTACTTTTTTATGATGTTAATGGCCTTTCATTACTGTTCTTACTTTCAGGTAGTTTCAGGTAACTGTGTGTGTGTGTTTGGACACACTTTCTCAAACTTACATTCAGATCCGCTCAAAATACGTTTTTTTTTAAATTAAGCAAAGAATACTCATACTGAAAATATGTGAACAGTTGCTGATCTTGAGCAACCAGGGTGTAGGTACTTAGAGCTGTTCTCAATGTCCAGGTGTGCTGCTCAAAATGCATCTTAGAAGTTTTTTAAAACAGGCAAATCATCGGTGACCAAAAGTATGTTAATGAATGAAGTCAGATTAAAAGGCACTAAAAATCTAGCAACTTTTTATAACAGATTATAAAAATTACCTGGCCAGCAAGATATAACTAACTGGGATGTGACAAAGGCTTCACTCATAGCACAGTCTGCGACAGTGGTTGCACTCAGGTCTTGAAATGGAGACAATATTTTTGCCTTCAGTGAAATCTTATTTCATCTTTACATTTAGAAAGGAAAAAGATTTCACTAGAAAGAGACTTCATGCATGATTATAAATAAAATTGAGTATCTGTGCCTGGATGATGTCATCACAACAGTGCGTGTAACAGACTAGTTTCAACATGTTTGTGATGTCTAGACACACAATATGACATAAATGGCATAGTTTGCTTTATACTCACTGTCTGGAAAAATCCTCCTCCCACACTTCACATGTCAGAGCAATACCCATGTGGAATCTGGTCTTTGTGTAGGTACTTATATTTAGAATGATTAAAAAAAGGAGAGAATACTTTAGAAACAGGTTCTCAAATATCTGTACTGTAATGTGACATTGCAGAGATAGCATTAGATTGTAGGATTAAGTGGGAAGTTGTATAAATATTTGTATGCAGAATAGGTGGAGATGGAGGATTTGTGAAAATGTATGAAGGTAGTAAAATGCAAGAAATTATGTTATAATAGCTTAGATTTTTTTTCTGTTAGATTTGTTAAAGTGGCCATCAGACATACTAGTTTATGGTGGTTAGTATTACTTGCCAAAAAAACCTGAAGAGTGGGAGAGACTGATTTCGGATCAGTCTAATGAATATCTAACCCCAATGAAGGATTTAGTTGTTAAAAAACCATTGGGAGAGTAGTGTTAAAAAAAAAATACATTTGAAGAAGCTTAAAAATGTGAACTTCTGAGTCCTTTTTCTTTTTCAACAAGAATAAATTGTTGAATCCAAGTTGAACTCCCCCAAATGTTTTGATACCACCAAAATTATATAAAGTTTCCGGGAACATGTTTTAAACGTAGCATTTTTCTCAACACTGTGAGCAGAGCAGTTGCCTGCACTTTCCCCAGGGGATTTCATCAGAGGGAATAGTTGATATGACTTTGCAGAAATAAATGAAGGGTGGAAGGTTTTTCCCTTGCTGGATGAACACAGTCGTACCATACCACAGTGCTGAGGAAGAGGCAACAGGCTGCCCGGGGAGCAGGGGGTCACTGGCCTGTTTCGGTGTGTGCTCCCTTGGGTAGTGAGGGAACTCCGAGCTGCTGAAGTGGGGACAAGTGCTATTGTTGTGTCCCAAAGGGCAGCCTGGCTAACATCCTGCCCTTTACTTTAGCCTCCAGATACAGCGGCAGCTGAGCACTGGATCAACAGTAAGATGCTATATGGTTTAGGTTTTTTAAGTAGTTTTTCTCTTTGTTTTTGAACAGGCCCAATGTACTATGTTTTGCTTCTTGGGTCCTAGTTATGAGTGAAAGTTCAGTTATTGTCTATTGCATTCTTTTGAGCCCTTGTAAAACTCAAGAATTGGGTTCTGTTTAAATTTAGCGTTTCTGTTTTTAATTTAGGTTCTGATGCCTAGGAGAATACCTCAGATTTTTCATCCTAATCAAAAGTGACTTCATGTATAGGACTTCCACTAAAAATCCTAGCCTCTCTGTAGTTTACATCAAGTGCTCCCTGCACAGCAACTTAGTTCTTCTTAGAAAAGCAAGAGTTAAGGGTGATGCTTTTTTCCTGGCAATCTCACCATTCCGTCATGTTCCAGGAGCCACATGACAGGATGGTACAAACAAGAAACATCCACCCACGCTGAGGATGATGTCTGCCCCAAACGCTCTTGTCCCTTGACATTTTCACTGTATCTTATAAATAACTTCTCTTCATTTGGAGGGAGCGCAAGAGCTAAACCGTGGAAAAGAGCAGGAACTATTGAAATAGAAAGCAGGAGAAAGACACATAAAATGTACTCCTCCAAGATGTAATAACTCTCCTAATAATTTATAGCAATTTAACTTCCTTTACAAAGCTACCTCTACCGCTTCTCTCAGTGACCACAATCCAGCAAGCACCATAGTAACTGTAAATTTCATCCCTTAATCTTATCTGTTCTGCAAGCAGCTGTCATAATACAATTTTTCCAAATTGCCCAGAAGATTAGAGAATTCATATTCTTGCAAACTGAGGTTTTGTGCAAAACAAAGCATTGTGAAAAAGGCAAAGGTTTTCCCCCAGACAGTTTGTTTATTAGAGTATTACAGTAATCTGGGTGTTACTGATAACGCATTACTGTTGTGATTTCTGGGGTGCAGTTCTGCTAGACCTTTCTATTTGTGAAAAAATGTCATGTCTAACTGATACAACATTTGTTATTTTTGAAATCAATTTAAAGGTTATGCAGTGCCAGGGATTATGAAATACCACTAGTCTGCTATCCGTACCAAAACAATAGCTTTGGTTTATGGAAAAGACAGATGCAGTAGTATCAGCCTACATTTTACCAGTGTGTATAGTATTCATCCATATGCTAAAGCAGATAGGGTGTTGGTGACTTTCTGCTGTGCCGGACACCTGCCAATGCTAGTCATATTGCCCATCACCAGATGTGTTTTTAATGTGAGGAAGTGCTGTGTCTTTGCATGTGCTCCTGACGTTATTTCTAAGAGGCACATTTGTTGCTGGATTATAACAAAGAGGACAGTCATCTGACACCCACCCCACTGGTGCAAATAACCAGGTTCCCTGGGAAGCATGAACTGGAACTCTCCCTTGCCCCTTAGCTTTTAATATGTACCATTTTTTCCCCCGTCATACATAGAAGAAAAAAAATACTTAAATAAAAGAGCACTGTCGTGGGTCTCCCTCTCTTCAAGACTGAGACACAAGCTGCTGCTGGAATGATGTGCATGGTGCTGGTGCCCCAGTGCACCAAGGCTGAGAACCTCTTGCAAGAAGATGGGTTTCCCTCCACCTTATCCTGGGGGCCTTGAAGCCTGAGGTCCCATTGTGATGAATATTCTGTGTGCCGCAAATGAAATCATATGTGGGCACTGTGTCATGATAAAAGGCATATTTACTTTCCAAACTTAGGGAAATGGATTTTCAGTAAGAGGCTTGACCTGCCCTGTGTCTGGACTTCACTGTGTCTGTATGTCTACTGCCTATGCACTGTGGTGTGTTTTTAGGTGAAAGAAATACCGCTCTTTTAGAAGAAGAACTTTAAGTCAGTAAATGAAGGTACATTTATTTTCCACCTATCAAGAAGGCAAGAAAAGGAAAAGTAGTGTTTTCTTGTGGCTACATAAAACGTGGTACACGAAGAGAAGAGCATCATTGCAGTGGATGACAGTATGTAGCAATATGATGGCCTTCAGAAAGATATCGGGGATATCTCAGAAATGATTCTTCCACTAAAATTTGCAGATGCTGATGTTTTGTTCACCTTCAAACTGTGATACAGTGCTGGTTTTGTTGACAAGCTTTTGTAGCTGGCTTCCTACCAAAACTCATGCTCACAAACTCTCCTGCTGCCACAGTGAAGAAGCAGCAGTCTGAACTTCTAGAGAAAAATCTTTGATCCTTTCATTATCTCCTTAATTTGAGACACTTTTATTTAGGCTTCTGGCTATCTTCAGCTAGGTAGCAAGTTAATTCTCTTCCCTTAAAGACTTAAAGGTACTTCTAAATGGTGTCTATGAAGTTTTTCACCATTTCCCTGTGCTGTTTCTCCCCTATTTTTAGGCTGCTCATCCATCATTTGACAGAGGAGTAGGGATGCAATTCTCACCATCTTTGCTTCCTTGAACAGAAGGGATCTAGTATTTGTTTCTCTCAGATATGAAGGGTGAGATCTTGGACCATGATGGAAATGTATCATTAGCTTTAATGACACCCGGATTTCCCCAAGTTTTGAGGGCTTGGTCCTTCTCTTATTTAGGCTGTTGTATATCCAGTTCAGCTCTGATGTATCAGAAAATAGGATTTAATTCTGAGAGACTGTGCTGGAAAGTTCAGCATCTGTGAAGATAAATTGTACAGCAAATACACATTCTTTATGAAGAAAAGAACTGTTTTTAAAGTTTGGGTAACTTTTCATCAGACTAATGGATACACAACAAGCTTGAAAATAGCACTTAGTCCAATAATAAATTTGCCTGGGAAGATCGCAAGAAATAATTGGTAGATTTTTTTCCCATTTGAGTGCTAAAACAAATTAGCTCTCTGTTGTTCTGACTTGGATGGATCATTGAGTCTTAACTTAAAAATATAGCATAGGGAGTATGTAAACACTCTCCTAGCATGGGCAGAAACACTGGTATCCCTAAAGAATTATTTACTTCATTCATGCAATTACGAATGCTGGGGGAATGCTGATTTAGATGTGAGGCCCCCAGCATAAAGCACTGGGCATTAAATGCACGAGCATTTCTTCGGAGCAGCTTAACTGAAGTTTATCATGACCATTCAGCTATTGCCTAGCAACTTGTGAAGGCCATCAAAGAGCTCTTTGTCCATAGCTCTGGCAAAAACATTTCCTTGCAGATATCCTTATCAGTATCAAAATCAACATGAAAACTTATAAAAAACAATTTTATTGCATAAGAGATTAATACTTACTTGAAATTGTGGCACTCATAAGCCAGTACACTGTTGATACCATTGTTGTAAAAGCTAAGTCTAATCTTGCTTTGTAAATTCTACTAAAAATGTTCCTTTTTCCTCACTAATTTCTAGCTTTTCTATAAAAGCATAGCTTTCTTGGCTGAAATTTCATATAAATCATCAGTCTGGAAAATTCTTATTTTATTTTTTAATCCTTTTAATATTTCTAACCTATTTTTTCTCAAAAATACACATTTTATTTTTACAGATATAAGATGTGGAACTCAGTTCTGCATTTTTAGTGCTTTTTGAGCTTATTTAAATAACAGTGAGTGAGTGAGATTTAAAACTATTTTTATAAGTAGAGAAGTAATAAATCACCTAATGAATTAGTGTTTCTGCTACATTCATTCTTGATACTCACATACAGGAGTGAAATTGATTTTCCTTATGATCAGTAGTGAATATAATAAAATTCCTTTTATAGTGAAACAGCAATAATATTCAGCATTCTTTCAGTACATTATATTGTCATAATTCAGTAATATTTAGGATACACTTTTCTTTGCTAAGTGGAGGGATACCGTTCTTCACCTAACTACCTCCTCATAAGGGGTAAAAACGGGAAAAAAAGCTATTTTTTTCAGTTTCCCTTATGGATAATTTCCCCTGATGCGAACTGGAGAAACTTTTTCCATTTTCATTTTTAATGGTAGATTTTGGGTCTTTTTAGTATTGTGGCTCTATGCAGCATGGGGTCCATTGTCTTTTCTATCCCAGCATGCCCAGTATCACCCTTTGACACCATGCTGTCATAAAGCATCCTCTGTGCGCAGATCAAGACGATATAATTGAGCCTGGTGTTATTGTATGTCACTGGTCTACATAATCTCAGATAATGCACTATGGTAACTCTTGGCAACCACTGACTTGTTAATGGTGACCATTGTATACTGAACACCACTGAAACCCATTAAGACTCTGCGAAAAATGTCTTTTCTCTAGCAAGGCTGAGTGAAGCTATGTATGATATGACAGATAACTCTCATGTGAACAGAGTGTCAGGCTCAATTCTTAAATCCTCTGCATGTGTCTGCTTGTGCTTTCACAGACTTATAAAATCAGGTTCTCAAATTTGGGAACCTCAAGCAGAGCAATCTTAAATAAGTGGTCTTGTTTCTAGAAAAAATGCTGTGATCTCATCCTGCTCACGTGCATCACCATCTCTCAGAATCAAACCACTCTCTCCTAACTCTTTTTCTACAAATTGGGAGTTAATGAAAAAGTTGACCCAGGTTACTGAGAAGCAAGACTACACTGCCTCTCAAAAGCAGATGAAGATAGGAGAACAATGTTGCCTGTGCAAGCAAAAATGAAAAAGTAATGGTATAAGGAGCCATTCATTTTTTGACACTCTGTTTTGGCTCAGTATTAACCAATGATCATTGAACAATCAGGGGGTTTAGGTGGCCTGTGTGCTGTCTGCTTCTGGTTAGCATCTGGATTCCAAAAGGCAGGTATTTTCTCTCTTGCTAGAGTTAGTTGGTGCAATCTGTTGAGCCACAAATGTGATTGTTCAATCTGCTGATTGTCTTGCAGGGAAACAAACAATTTGTGAGTCTAGAGTTTTACCTCTCCTCTAATTAGAGAGTTAGTCTTTGGATATAGGCAGCTTTACAAGGCACATGCTGTAGGGGCGAGGAATCACCTCTGAGTCTGGTCTGTCAGTAAACAGTGCAATTATTTTTCAGTATTGTTAGGAACAGTAGGTTTTGCTCTTCAAAGTTAAAAGATTTTTTTTCTCATCACATGTGAAACTGTTTTGCTTTTTTAGGACTCTGGCAGCCAGTGAACCTGTGGCATATTTTGCTGGAAATACTTACAAAGCAAGACATGCTTGTGGTTGGATTCAGTCCACTTTTCCCTCAGCGAAGGGCTTCATTCAGTAGAGGAGCCACAATAATACTTAATTGTTAATGCAAAGTACTGTAGACACAATACGGTCTGAGTTCCACAGTGGTGCCTGCTGGCATTTAACATGCAGCGTGCTTCTTAATTAAAAGCAGATAGTGGAAAAAACAAACAGGAAAGTTATATTTAATGTCGCTGCATTGCAAAGAAAAGAATCCCATCTGATGATTGGATGATTATAATTAGTAGTTTGTATTATGGTTTACGTATAGAGGTTAGGTTGTGGTCATTTTACAATCAATTTTATGCCAAAAATGCTTAGACAAAGCACTGACTGACCAGCATCCTTAACACTGTTGCAGCTAAGCATTTTGGAATGTTCACATGGTGTGTTTGGAAACCTTTTGTGTGTGCTACATTTTTCCATTTGGTATGAGGCTTAGCAGTAATCAGCTCACCACTAATTAGAAGTCATTCTGTCCTGCACCCCATTATTAGACAAAATTATGTCAGACCTTAAGAATTTTTTACATTCAGAAGGAAACGTTTCTGCAACACCTTTTTCATGCATTTCTCTAACATAAAATTTGAAAATAAGCTTTTGCTGTTTTGAAAAGGCCGTTACGGAGCAAGAAAAAGCCATTATTTTTCTGCATTTGAATTGCTTTCTGCTCTCAATTCTCTGAATTGATACCAGTGGTGAAAGTGAGAGGAATGAAAGACCTTTCAAAATTTTTATACATATAAAGGTCTTGTAGATCTTAAGGTATCAGCAGGCAGAAAGACTGGAGGTAGTATCCTATGGAGCTCTTATGTTCCAGGTAAATCTGCAAAAGTGCTTTCCTGTTACAGAAATCATGATCAGCCCATATGTACATTTTGTCAAAACTGGAATATGAAAGAAATTAACTGTTCTGGTGGAAGGCAGGACCAGAGATGCAAGTTTACCATGTTTTTTTTTCTATTTTCCTTATGATAGTCATATTTTCATAAACAGGTTTTGTGATGAAGTCAAAAATATAAACAGGTTTTGTGATGAAGTCAAAAAAGTTAACCCTCTGAAGACCAAACGTTTAAACTAACATAAGAATTCTTTACAAAGGCAGACATTTTTCTTTATTTTTGGTTGCAGGCATTCACTGCGACAGCGTGTGTGCTGAGGGACAGTGGGGTCCAAATTGCTCATTGTCTTGCTACTGCAAAAATGGAGCATCCTGTTCTCCAGATGACGGAATCTGTGAGTGTGCACCAGGATACAGAGGCACAACTTGTCAGAGAAGTAAGGATGAAATAAGTGCTTTAAAATCTCTGTGTCTCCCTCCCTTACTTGGAATACATATGATATAATAACCTAATTCTTTGTTAATTGTAGTATGAATACTATGATACACTCCTTGATTGGAGATTTTGTCACAATGTACAGAATGTACAATATACAGAAAAAAGTGTTATTGGAAATTAACAAATGTTTCCAACTTTTGTGGCTGTTTGTGTTATGGTACAACTTTACTTTTATTCACTGTGCTGTGATGCTGTTATGCACATGACTTTCTAAGAATCAAAATCAGTAGGGGAATTCATTCTAAAGGCAAGCCTTTACAGATGTGCTTGATGAACATTAATTTTGTAATACATATTTTGGTAGGTACATAAAACATGCAAGAGTTTCAGAAGTTTCCCATTGAGTCTCATAGGAATCATTGGCCTAACTATTGCTTTTTTTTTAAAGACTTTTTTTGAAGCAGCCAAGAATGGCCAGTGGGATCAGGCCACAAAGTAAGCAGAGGATATCCTAAGTACCCATAGTTATATCTAAAAAATTTGTCTCTGTAAAATTTAAATGCTACAACAATAGAGATACAGATGAACTGAGGCACATCATACCAGAAACAGCGAGGCAAACATAAGACAATGTGCAAAATGTCTACCCTCCCAAGAAGATTTGTCACAGTCTGCCAGCAGTCTAGCCATCTTCAGCTTGAGTTGTTGAAGTTGTGAATGTGCAAAGAAAAGAAATGTGAGCCCCGCTGCACTTGGAGAGCAGCCCTGTTTTCAGAGGAGGTCTCCTAGGAACAGGGTCAAGAAGCAAGTGCAATAAGGACAAGTGGAGATGCTACTTCATCCTCCAAACGAGTCTTAAAAGACAGGAGATCATAGAATCAAAGAATCATAGAATGGTTAGAGTTGGAAAGGACCTTCAAGATCATCAAGTTCCAACCCCCCCTGCCATGGGCAGGGACACCTCCCCTAGAGCAGGTGGCTCAAAGCCCCATCCAGCCTGGCCTTGAACACTTCAGGGATGGGGCTTCCACAGCTTCCCTGGGCAACCTGTTCCAGTGTCTCACCACCCTCACAGATGACATTAAATGATTACTAGAAGGTAGAAGGAGAACCAGAGGAGGATAAAGTCTTAACAGTCCAGGAATGGCAAGATTTCAAGCTGAAGAATGTGATTGCCTATGGCACTACTAAATCCCACATCAGTGTGGCATTAGTATTCCTTAAGCATTTCCAACTAAGTGCGGTAATTATTCTCACTATCTAATCTCTAAAGGCCTTGCAGTTAATCAGTTAATCCAAAAGCAGACTAAGTGTAACACTACGTGTAAAAATGTTCCCTGTGTTTTGGAGCTGTGCCTATAACCTGGACAAGAGGCTTCCAGTCCAGTGGCGCTCAGAGCCCTTCTCTGATGCACAGTCTGGAGGCTGGGAAGACAAAGGTCATACGAATAATTTGGATCCCAGTTAGAAAGTGCCTTTTCAGTAAACAGGAAGACCTTTTGGCACTGTTTCACTTGGAAAAGTTAATCTCTCTAAAAAGATCTGGCCACATAATTTGTATCAAGTGTATAATTAAAAGACTGAATCTTGAATGAAATTAAAATATTGAAAAGATTCCAAGTTAGTTTTCGTCAATGCTAACCACTGCTGTGCAACAGGTATTTCCCTTGATGCATTACCTAATATTCTAATTTATCAGGAAATAAACGCCAAAAGGGATTAGAGCAACAAAGAAGGAGTTTTTATGCAACAGACTTTCCCCCTCCCCCCTCCTTTTTTTTTTTTTTCCCTTTCTAAAAGGAGCTAGTGCCTTTAACATAAGAACTAAATGGATGATTCTGTGTTTCTGGTTCGATGTTCTCTAAAAGTTAGGTGATGTGTAGCTGTCTGTACCATGTAATGAGGACTGTGCCCGCCTAAATGACAGGATGACTGGAAAATATCTTTACATTTTTTTCAGTGAAGTAATGGCTATTTGTGTTAGGAATTAAGTTAGTGCTCTGGCTGCAAGACCATCCTTATTCTTGCTAAACATTTGAAGATTTTGTTCAGAAATCTTTCCCTATGACATTTTTTAAGTGCTTATAACTTTTAACAAGTTAGGAAATGCATAAGAAGTCAAGGTCTAAGATGTCCCTACTCATCTACAGATAAAACTATCCACTCTGTGTTTTTAAATTACTTTTCTTCAAATAATAGTCTTTAAAAGATGTTCATGTTGTGGAGGAGATAAAATGTATAGCAAAATATGCATAATTTATATAGTATATATGCATTTCAAACATAACCCAAGTATATGTGTGGCCTGACAAGTAATAGGATGTCAAGCCATTACTAACTGGAATATAGTAAACCCTTGAGGAACCCTTTCATGAGTATAAAACATCGATCTGCATGAATAATAAAAACCACCATTACAACTCTTCTGTCTGCAGAAAGCAGAACTAATTCAAAGTCAGAAAGTGCAGGAAGCAATGACAGTTTGTTCTTTCTGATTCCAGTTTGTTCTCCTGGTTTTTATGGACACCGCTGCAGCCAGACATGCCCCCAGTGTGTACACAGCAGTGGTCCCTGTCACCATATTACTGGCTTATGTGACTGCTTACCTGGATTTACAGGAGCCCTCTGTAATGAAGGTACAAGTTGTAATAAAGACTCCCAAGTGATGCAGATAATATAACTGTTATAACTTTCATTCTGCACTGTAATAACTTTAATTCCATCACCTGTAAACAAAACAAAACCAGTTTCTGTTGTAGTATGTGCAGTTTATAAATTAGCAACCATAAGCAGGTTTAGGCTGTTTGATCCTTAAGTATGAAACCCACTGTATTCTTATTTGTATTATTTGTATAATGACTATGTATAATGGACTTACCAGAATTTATAATGCCTTACTCTAACATTACACTAAGCAGTACATCCCTTGATCCAAATAAGAGCTGCTTTCTTTTGAGACAAAGAAAATACAATCTTGTTCTGATTACTAAAGAGTTCTAATTCTGACATCTTATTCTCAGTATGTCCCAGTGGCAGATTTGGCAAGAACTGCATTGGAATATGCACCTGCACCAATAATGGAACGTGTAATCCTATTGATAGATCCTGCCAGTGTTACCCTGGCTGGATTGGTAGTGACTGCTCTCAGCGTAAGTATCAGCTTTTTTTCCTTTATTTTTAAAACAATCAATCAAGGTTTGGCTATTTAAATTCTGTGCAAGCTGCTCTAAGTGGACCTGCTTTGGCAGGGGCGTTGGACTAGATGATCGCTGGAGGTCCCTTCCAACCCCACGTGATTCCGTGATTCTGTGAAATGTCTAAGACAGAAGTGAGGACTTCATGGCATATAGCAAAGAGATTTTAGACTTTTCTGCATTTCATTGGCACTATGAGAAACACATTTGCTCTATGATTTTTCTAAAAGTGGGCTGGAGCATACAACAGGAGGATCAATTTGCAGTCTTCAACTGCCCAAAGAAGAGTTGTAGAGAAACTGAATCAGATTTGTTTCAGAAGTGCACTGTGAAAATACAAGAGGCAATGCTCACAGGTTGCAGCAAGGGTGACCTTTACTAGATACAAGAAAAAAAATCCTTACTGTGAGCGTGGACAAGCACAGCAACTGTCCAGGAAGGCTCTGAAGTCTTCAGCCTGGAAGAGGCTGTGCAACCATCATTGTTGAGGATCCTTTGAGTAGGATGTTGGACATCCCAGGGCTTGTATCCTCAGTCAGTATTGTGAATAACAGAGGTATTAGTTTACAAGTAAGGAATCGAGGCCCTGAAATACAGGAATTTTTTTTTCTTACTGCAATTGCATAAAGAGCAACTGGCAAGGCTCAGAACAAAGCCAAGATTTTCTCAGATACAAGTTAGTGCTCTGGCTGCAAGACCATCCTTATTCTTGCTAAACATTTGAACATTTTGTTAAGAAATCTTTTGCTATGACTTTTTTAAAGAGCTTATAACTTTTTGATGGATTTTTCTCTTTCTTCCTTTTATAAATGTTTCACAGATACACTTTTTTAGTGTCATTCTACCTCACTCATTGAGTATTGTCCTGGTGTGCTAAACTCAGTGAAGACTTTGTGATTGACTTAAAAAGGAGAAGGGCTAGGCTCGAATTTTTATTATTTTTCATAGTGTTATTTTATTAAATAATTAGGCATTCTCCAGATGCCTTTCTGGGTCTATGCAAATTGCTAATGACAGGAAAGAAATATCTGAAGCAAAATTCCCACAAGAAGCATATCCAATTCTATAAGCTACCAAAATCCATACAGTCTGAAGCATGTGCGTGCCAAAATTTCAGTCAACTCATTTTCGCAAATAAAAGAAGCTGTACCAGACCCTGATATGTCAAAATCCAAAAGAAATTGTGCTGGGGTTTCCAGGGAGGTGTATTTCCTAATAACATGCCTCATTGGTTTGTATCATTCACGGTTTGGCTGGTTCAGGTTAACTGACTCTGTACCAGCGCAGTGTAACATCTGGTCAATTTGGAAAAAAAACTTTGCTGGCTAAATTCTGCAAAGTGATTAGCATGCACAACTCAATATGATACCAAAATAAATCTTGGGCCTATTCCTCTGGAAGCCAGTAGCAACAAAGGCTCCTGTTTTTATGGTAAAATAAGTAGGTAGTTAGGAGAGCAGTAGAACAGGGGTATTTAGGAGGAGGAGGGACTTAGTCACTGAATCAATAACAAGAAAATGGTGCCAGCAATATGAATGGAAGCGTCTATTAAGGCTGTGCTCATGGACCGTAACAGAGGAAGTTTATTTGCTTTGTATAAAGGCCTTTCGTTCACATGGAAAATAATGATTCCATTAATTTCTTTTGGAACGAGGGACCTTTTAAAAACTTCTAACCTTTCTTCTGTATGTGATTTACGTTCCTTCTCAGTTGACCCCTAATTTCAAACAAAAAACAATAATAAAAATAATTATAAGGCACAACTGAAGTGGAAGCAACAAAACCCAAACTTAGTACTTTTTTTTTTTAATACGACATAGCACGTTTCTTAATTAAATGAAATTTGGACAAAGATAACACTTTGCAAAAATGCAGCCCACACATAGATGAGTCATTACGGAAACATTTAAAGGATTCAAGAGTTTTTACTGCTCTCAGACAGGTCTCTGGACAACCAAATCCGTGCACAACAAATAGCAGTTACACAGAAACAAGGCTAAGGCTTCTGCATCTGACGTGTTTCTTCTCTCCTGTGAAATATTCACGTTGTACTTCCACAAAACTGTTTTTTAATCATGCATCTCTTTACTAAAGAAACAAACAAAAACCTCAAGATGTGAATCCTAATCAACAGAAAAGGGCTATTCTTAGAGTACCCTCTGCAGTTAGTTATATTCTGACATGAAGAGAATTATCTTTGCTGTCTTTGGATAGTAATTAGCATTTTGGAACCACTTCACTATTCTAATGGCAGCATATAGTATCAAATTCATTCACCATGACATTTTCAAAGCAGTCAGTAAAATTCTATCTCATAAAATGTTGACATCATTGTTAGAGGAAAAAGCCCTCTACTTTATAGATAATTACTTGGTTTTTAGAAATATTATTTTGATTAATGGACCCACAGAAGCAACTGACTTAGCTTGATTAAGGTACAGTCCTGATTATATGCACTACGTTTAGTCAGTTATGTAGAATCAAACAGTGGAAATACAAAAAGTAAGTTCAGAATTAGGTCTAAAGCTATAGGCTATAAGATGTGTTTCAAACTTCTCTGTTATTTCTCCTTCACTTTTTAGGCTTGAGGCTTAAGATTTATCCCCTTGACTGTGCTCAGTTGAATGTTTGCAGATTGAAAAATAAATTAAGAAACGAAACTTACGTGTCTTTCTGTATGAGAAAGCTGGTATGAGTGTCTTAGCTACTGAGTGTGACTGATTTTTTTCACACATTTGATCTGTTTCAAGACTTTTTATCTAGAGTAAAATGATTCCTTAGTTTAAAAAAAAATATGCAAATTTTGCTCGGCCCAATGCAATTATGTTCAGCCCAAAAAATGCACTTAGAAGAAAAGCAACAAGCCCCAAATGAAGCAATACTCATATGTGAATGTAAGCAGCTCTATTAATGGGTATCAAGGATCTTTGTCATTTGAGATTAATTAATTGTCGTGTTCATTTTAGCTTGCCCACCTTCCCACTGGGGACCAAACTGCATCCACACGTGCAACTGCCATAATGGAGCTTACTGTAGTGCCTATGATGGGGAGTGCAAATGTACCCCCGGATGGACTGGCCTTTACTGTACACAAAGTAAGTGATTTTCGTTACCCAGCTCTGCAGGGCTACCCCACAGGGTGGGAGGATGATGCCACCTGATTCCTTCCCTCTCTGAAACCTCCCCAAGAGCGACTCAAGCAGCAGGGACCTGTCAACCCAGATTGTGACACAGAGCTGAGCAAAGCCATAAGAACAGCATTGAGCGTGGCTGTGGCTGTGTTCTACTGAGCACAGTCCCTATTGTCACTGCAAAGTGATCACGCAGTACATCTCATATCTGTAATTGCTGTCTCCTGGGGTCAATTGCAACAGCAGCTCTGGCTCAGCACCTGTAATTCAAATACTGATATGGAAGCTATTTTATTTTATTTGGAACTTAGAAACTTGACTTCACTAGACTGTAACGTTATAATTTGTTTTGGAATTTTCTTCACGTAATTAATACATTGATACTGATTTTTTTTTTTTTCTTAAGAGCTTCTCATTAAAATAAAAATACAAGTAGTACAGTGACTGGGCATGCGTATATAGCAGTCATTATGGGCTGGGTAAGAGTTCATACAAAGCTTGAGAAATAAACATTTGTTAGAGATAGATATTGATTAAGTTGCCTTCTTATCTTTATCATATTATGGCTTCAATGTTATTTGTCTTTAACCCAGCATCCCCATTGTCTGTAATCTGGGCACAACCATTACCTTTGAACTCAAGAAAGATAAGACTGCTGACTGTGTTTTGCATTCAGTGTTTAAATACACGGTTTTCCTAGAATCAGAACTCTCCTTTTTCAACTGAATAATGTCGTAGTGGCAGGAAATAACAGATATATTATAGGGCCATATGGATGCAGCTCTGGAAGATATTCACTATATTGGTTCAGCTGTCAGCTATCATGGTTATTTTGCTTCCTGCTGGTGAATAATGGTCTCTTTGCAGTGATACATCTTCTTCACACTGAAATGGTATCTCTGTGAGGAGCTGAGATACAATATGTTATTATTTTTATTATTTTTTTTTCTTCAACATCAACTGTGCAGAAGACACGTGCAAAGGTTCATTCATCACTGAAGAGACTCCCTGCTCTGGTTCCCAAACTGCCCTCTTTCTTCTCCTTCAAATGCCTTCTTAAACCCATTTCCTTGAGGAACCCTTCTTGCTGCCTTCTGCTGAACATCTGCTGTCCGCCCAATACCCTAACCTCACTTTTTACGCAGTTTTTGCCTAATGTGTATTTTAAACCGCTTAAAATAGGATAGGTGTTTGTAGCATGCCATGTGAAGTGGTGGGGCTGCAGAAATGACTTCCGAATAACATACTTAGGCAGAATATTGACAACCTTGTGTTCTGGAGCGGTGGTCTGACGCCTTTCCCCCTCCCCATCCTTGTGTTGCAGGGTGTCCCCTGGGGTTTTACGGGAAGGACTGCGCTCTGCTGTGCCAGTGTCAGAACGGAGCTGACTGCGACCACATCAGCGGGCAGTGCACCTGCCGCACGGGCTTCATGGGGAAGCACTGCGAGCAGAGTGAGTAGGGACGGCAAACCAACACCCAGCCCACCCTCTGCTCCTCTGGACAGCGTTGTCTGTCATACGACTTCTCGGCCTCCGCGGGAGTTCTGGTGGTGAAAGAGCTCCAGGAGTTGGACCTAGGCTGGTTGCAAACAGAAAAAGGCCGCAGAGTTGGTGGTTAAGACTGATGATGACTGTGATGGCTGTTTTCTTTCAATTTGTTGCTACCTATAAGAGGCACCTGGGCTCCATTCCAGTTGCTTTGGACACAATGCTAGAAAAACCCCAACAACTCTGCCATGTAAAAGTAACAAATGAATCCAACTAATTGTCATTAGCATAAGCCACAATGAAAACTAGTAGTTAGAAAACTAAAAATAAGAAGTACCGCATCAATCCTAGTGGATGAAATTAATCTTTGTGATGTGGTTTTACAATGCAACACAACTGGATTATGAAAGCATAATAGATGGCATTTTTTTTTATACATGTGATTCTTTAGCCAAGAAAATCAAGAATACCACCACTGCATCAACAGTGCAACAGTTGATGACAGTTTAACATTGCACAGCTTCAGAAGAATAATCAGGCTCATAAGCACAGAACTGTTAGTCCAAGTTTTCCTAATATCACAGAGTGATGCTCCCGCACTTCATGCATTACACTGCAGTGCAAAACAATCCATCCAACCTACTATTGTGAGGGTTTAAACCCGTCTTTGGCCTCACAGGGCTTTGTTTTTGTTGTGTGGAGGACACTACACATTACCTACAACCAGGGCTGATTTAGCTGCATCTGGATCTGAAGGACAGTATGTGTCACCCCTGGCAGCCCAGGACAGAAGGGAGGGGAGGTTACCCTCCCTGCAGACACACCTCCTTACCTCAGCACTGGATCTAGCCCCAGCTACAACAGGAGTTATGTTTTTGAGGCTAATCTACATCTATGGTCAAACCACTAAAAATTTGGAAGTGAATTTTTTTTTCCCCTAAGAAAAATACAGTTACTTCAAAATCTGAGTGGTTTAGAGGAATGTATTTATTTCAATGAAGTAATAGATGGCAACATGTAATTATTAGCTATTTAGTTTTTCTTACTCTGTGCTGATGATTTGTTTCACTTCAAAGAGTAACAGAAGTTTAGGAAAAGATAAACTTTTTAAGGTTCTCTCTTGATGTCATGATATCAAAAAATCATTTTGAACACTTTGGCAAATCTAGTATTATTTTGTGTTCTGTTGATTTTATATTTTATCCTATAATTTGATAATAATGATTTAACAATGTTAAACAAAATGTTTTGGTATTTCTGAATTTTAACATCAGTGTTAAAAATTCAATTTTCATCCCAATTCAGATTTCAAAATGCCAAAACATATTATGGCATGATGGTTTTTGCCCAGCCATTGACTTCACTAGTTATAATCTTGTTCTACTGAATGTAACTGAGAGAAGAAAAAGGTATATAAGCATGAAATTCCACTTGAGTCTGGATTTATCAACACTGCAAGAACATTTCTCTGCCACCTATTGTGTTACATTATCTTGTAAATTATTCTAAATTAGGAATACATAAAAGATGAGCTAAATTCTTTTAAAAAGACAAAAACAAGTTAATATGGTTACAAAACTCCTGAGAGATTTCAGAACACTGAATCTCAGATGGTGAAGAAATACTACATTTCCTCAAACCATCAGAACTACAATAATGTAACAAGGCACAAAGTAACAGAGGTGGCAGTATAAAAGAAAGATTTTTTTATCAGTGTAGGATAATTCTCTACCATGCTAATTACATGATGTAGGAGATACTTTGATCAGTAATTTATTATGCTATTCAAATCATTCTGGGAGAGAAAAAAAAAAAGCATGTAAACTCTTCCAATTATCTTATTATTCATAATTTAGCATTTTTCTCCTGTAGATGGTTTCTCAGTTTATACATTACAATATCAAAGTATGCTATAAGCAGCCTAGGATCAGTTTTATTTTTATATAAATGTGTGGTGTGTATTAGACTCATTCTTTTGCTCTTTTACCACACCAGCACATCTGTCATATGATGTGACACCAGCCAGATGTTTGGATCCACTCATATGATTATGTAATTTTTCAAGCACCAGGATCTGAATAACCTGGGAGACCTGACATTCCTGGGAGACCTGACAGGTGTAGAACTGGCAATTTGTTCACATTTTGTCCATTTCTTCACTGTCTTCTATCCTTTTAATCTTTTGGGGTTTTTGTTTGGGTTTTTTTTTTTCCTTCGTAATTTAGCTGCCTTAGTGGCAGCAACGTTACAGGTAAAGGAAAACCACTTCTGAATAGTTTCTTTCTTTTCCGTCTCCTTTCCTGCGTGTACACACACATACACATGAAGGTCCTCTTAAGAAAATATTTTCCGTAGAGGTCTACCACCAATAACACGTTGCCATCTGCTGGCCATGGACAAGAACATATGGGGTTAGAAAAAAATGGTGGCATGCTTGGTGCTGCAGATGTGTAATACCCAAACATTTAAGGAGTACTCCCTATGTCTGATTTTTATTTGTACTTATTTTGTGCAGAATGCCCTCAAGGTACCTATGGATATGGATGCCGGCAGATATGTGACTGTCTGAACAACTCAACCTGTGACCACATCACAGGAACTTGCTACTGCAGCCCCGGCTGGAAAGGGGCCAGGTGTGATCAAGGTAAAGCCTAGATGCAATCAAATTATTGTAATTTTTGTTTTATCTAAAATTTGGATTAACCTATTAAATGCCATCTCTGTGTGATTCATTAAATTAACGGTGTGATCAAGGTAAAGCCTAGATGCAATCAAATTATTGTAATTTTTGTTTTATCTAAAATTTGGATTAACCTATTAAATGCCATCTCTGTGTGATTCATTAAATTAACCTGATAAGGCATGTGTGTTGAAATAGTCCATTCTATTGAATTATATATGTTCTGTAGATTTTGTAAGTACTAGATGCCTCAGTGATAGCTTATTGGAGCAAAGCACTCAACTGTAGATTGCATGAATTTTTTTGCAATGCTGTACTATCCAGAGCTGCTGATAGAGCATGTGCTTTACCTATTCTGTGAATGTTCTGACTTTCACAGCTCCATGAAAATATCTGTGTCTATGAAGATGAATACTTTTCCAGGCATTACTAAATACAGTTAAATTAGCAGAAATATTTAGAAGTTAAATATTGTATTCTCTCCTGAAACATAAGTCTCTGAATTTATGTGACTGATTTTCATTTCTTCTTGCATTTCAGCTGGTGTAATTATAGTGGGAAACTTGAACAGTTTAAGCCGTACCAGTACTGCCATCCCTGCTGATTCTTACCAGATAGGGGCTATAGCAGGCATCATCATTCTTGTCCTGGTTGTGCTTTTCCTGCTAGTGCTGTTCATCATTTACAGACACAAGCAGAAAGGAAAAGAAACAAATATGCCTGCAGTGACCTATACCCCTGCCATGAGAGTCATCAATGCGGATTACACTATTTCAGGTAAGTGACATTCAGAACAGGGTGAAGTTTTTTCCATCTCTTGACTTAGCTTTTTTAGCTGAGCTCTAAAGGGGTTCAGAACTTCCCCTAACAGGGCTTGGATGTGCATGTTTCATCTTTTTGCCTTAGTGAGGGCTGATGTGAGCAAGAACACATTCAATTTCAAATGGGTGTCTACAGTTCTGCCTTGGAAGCCTTCCTGGAAAGAGAGGCAGAGGAGGGTTTTCCTCTTTACGAAGAGGAAGAGTGAGACACTGCTCTCAACTGCCTTTCGCAGGAGAGCAGCCCTTGAGATCACACCGACAGTGGGGGTAGACCTAGGTGTATACCTGTCAGCTATCACAGAGAGTTCACTCAAGTTCAGAAGAATACTGCCCCAGTATCTCTAGCTGCTTAGTTGCTTCTCCATCATAGTCTTTTAATCTGTTTTTGATTTTATGAAGGTAGCATCCCCTGGTAAAATGTGTTAATTTTAAGGAAAAAATTACCAGATGCCTTGTTTTACTGTGTACCATTTTCCACCCTCATGTTTTTCTACATTAAACAGTGGAAGTATGGCATTTCTTTCCTCTGTGCCATTTTTAAACAGAACTGGAAAGTGTGGCAAACTGTGGTTGCTATTGAGACTTTAAATTCAATGCCAACAGCTTGAATACCGAAAGACTGCTGTAGGTGTAGAAAATTTGGATTTCATACTAGCTGTGGCAAGACTCTGTAGAGAGGCAGATAGCAGAGCAGCTTGAGCTTGAAACAAACGAAGGGAAGGAGTGATGTTCCTGCAACACAGGAGTTTTTCACCTATGAAAGTGCATGTGAGTTGTGATGCAGTGGGTACAGGAAACTTCAGGCAACGCTGTCTTTTGTACACAGCTATTAAGGAAGGCAGCAGGTAAAGAAGCTAGCAGAAGCAGCTGCCGGAATCAAGGAAGATGTATCAGCAGAGGTGGTGGTGCTCTTGAAGCACCAGAAGGCATTGCTGAGAGCTTGATGGTAAAAGTGTCTGTTGTAATCAGGGCAATGCTGTGACTGCAGAGGCAAAAGAGAGCAAGGGACCACAGCAGAAAGAGAAGTTAGAAGTCACATTTGTGAATGCTCTCTGCTGAAAGTGAGGACATGACTAGTCAGTTACTGCCCTGTATCTATAATTTCTTTAAATAATGCAAGATCTTTAGATTATTTTTTTTCAAGAAACTCTAAATCAGATTCTGAAATCAGTGCAGCACTGTCAAAAACATATCCTAAGAAAGAAATTAGGATTCTTCAATATTTCTTAGGATATGTTGGTTTCAGTTGTTCATTTTTCTTTCTTTTTCTTTTCAGAAACCATCCCTCACAGTAATGGTGGAAATGCTAACAGTCACTATTTCTCTAACCCTAGTTATCATACCCTAACTCAATGCACTACCCCACCTCATGTCAACAACATGGAAAGACTGACCCTGGCAAAGGTAAAGCATAAAATCTGGATGTTTCTGTATAAATTAGTCTTCGGTTTATTTTACTTTGTTTCCTGATGTTTCATGTTTGGTTTTATTTTTGCTTTCCCTGCTTATCACCTGGAAATTCAGCAACTTCCCGTCAGTTTCAGTTTCTATTACCTATCTTTCTTTGAAATAGGCAAAAAACAAACAGCTGTTTGTGAACCTTAAAAATGTGGAACCTGGAAAACGAGGCACTGTCATGGATTACACAGGGACACTGCCTGCAGACTGGAAACATGGTGGCTACCTCAATGAACTTGGTAAGAAAGAGAAAAGGAGGAGAACATCAATGTTATTCGTTGCATTTGGGACAGACTGGAAAGCAGGGATGTTTTCCTGGTCCTCCACTCAGGGCAATGCCAGGCTTGTCAGACTGTGTGAGGTTCAGGGTTATGGGTTTGACCTTCCTTTAAGGGAGTACCCTTAGAGATAAAAAAGCAATTCCGTGTGAGGAGCAGTCAGTGCACAGTGAAGAAATGATACTTGAAATATCTCATATTAATTAGTTTCAAAAAAAAATGGGTATTGAACAATAAGGGCCTGCTTTGGCAAAATTACATATTCTTATTAAATAATTGACAGGTTGCATATATCCTTTTTTTTTTTAAATCCTCAATAAATGGAATCAATGCTTTATAAAGTAGTTTCTCATCATCTGAGCTGCTTCAGATGTAAACTCTAGCAACACCTTCCCAGCTAAGCCTCCTGTTTGCTAAAAGACAGAGCATTGCCCATAAGAAAAAAATTCCTGAGAAGTAGTGTGAATTGCTGCCTTTTCATCGTTCCCAATCTCACAGATTCCAAAAAGGCTATATTGCACTGACCATATCTCTGACCAGTGAAAGCCTTAAAAGGGACTTTAAGTGCCACTAGACTTTAGATTATTTAATTACCTTACTTTCTGGTCCTTATCAGTATCAGAGTCTGGGAATCAGAACAACAGTATGTAACATTGTTGTTTTCCACAGTCTTGGTCTAACTAAAATTCAGGCTCAAATCCGGGTTTTTTTAGTAAAGGGTTTCAGTCATGTGCTCAATGTTCAACTTTACATTTTCTTAGAGCATTTGTACTAGCACTTAAGACTCCTAGGGATACTGCCTATGGTTTTGTTTATAGAGATATTGTGTAGATAAAATGATTTTACGTTTTTTAAGGGTTCTGGCACAGTGCCAGAATACAATTGGATTAAAAAATTAATACTTCATAATATCAATAAAAGCTATTTGAATGAATTAGTAACCATGTAAGTACCAGGTCTCTGAAGACAGTTGTCAGCATTGCTGATTGATGATGCTTATATTGGGGTTTCTATGGAGAGAAATCTGTTACTAACAGATAATTGCAAAGATTGGGCACTTGGTGTTTAGGCCATTCCTGCAGATCAAGGGACTGGAACAGAGTGACCTTGGACAACACAATGGGAGTGATTAACTTTGCAAGCAAAGTACCAAGAATTGGAGTGAACTTTGCGTACCCTGAGAATTTTGCCTTTCTGGTAGATATGGTTTATCCAAACAAAAAATACACTTTAATCAAACAGCAATTATTAGGCTCATTCAAGAGTAACTGAGGGAAACGTAATGTCCTGTGACATATGTGAAGACAAACCAGATAATTTAATGGTCCCATATGACCTTAAACCACCGTTCCATTCAGGAACTACTGTTTGAAAGTGCACAATACCAACAATGCTTCTGTATCTCTGTACTGAGCAGTTTCACAGTTTCTACCTTATTCAGCTAAGGTAGAAATTAGTCCCAAAGCATTTTTTAAAGCTTTAGAAGATGTTATCCAGTCACTTTTCTTTGATTTTAAAACTATTGTTTTTCCTATAATTTTTCTCAGGTGCTTTTGGACTTGATAGGGGATATTTGGGAAAGTCCCTGAAAGGTGAGTTTATTTTCTGATGCATTTACATGAAATGACATAGACATTCAGTTTACTCTTCTAAATTATCTTTGGCTTCTGGGTGAAGAGACTGTAAAATAATTTTGGACTAAATTATTCCTAGACACTGAATCAATGCTTGAAGTTTGTTTGCTTTTTATTTTTTTTGAGGGGAGGGATGTAAAGAAAAAAACAACCAAAACCAAAGCAAGCCTTTCTAAGTCCCCTATGTGTCACATACATTAAATGTTTCTGTAATGCTTGAGTCATGGAATGGCTCTATGCTAAACAACAGAAGAGGGGTGGCCCTTGAATTCAGCCAGGTAAGGGTGCACGCTGCCTCTTACATGCAAGCTGTGAAAGGCTTTTAAAAGAGAAATAATTCCTCTTGGAAATGGCGCGGTCAATGTAGGACTGCATGACTGTGAGCCTGCAGTGCTTCATCACAGTCACTGCAGGCCTTTGGAAAGGATATAAAAATGTGAATACACAGAGAGGCTTCAGAAAAAAAGGCTTCAGAAATTCAGGGTAGTGATGATGTTTTGATCTTTGAACTTTATATTAGACCATACTGGTGTGTGCCACTATTTTTGTTGTATGATTAAGTCATGCCAAGGGTGACTGGAATGCTTGGATATCCAAACAAAGAAAAAAGCTTAGATCTAAGTCCATACAAATAATGAGTTAAATATGTAGAAAAAAGCAGCTGGTTTGTCACCTTGTGTATAATACAGGACAATTTAGCTGAAGGAAGGATTCATTATACCTGACATTTCCTGATTTTGGAGGATTAGGAGAAGCCCAATTTAAAATATCTAAAGGAGTCACAAAGTTATGTGCACCTATCCACTGACAGGTTCACCAAGGTCAGTCTCATGCTGGATAATCAGAGTTGGGAAGAATCTGAGAAAGTCTCTGTTATGAAGCTTAACTAACATAGCATATCACAAAACAACACAGAGAACAAAGTAACATGGATACCACAAAATCTCTTCCCAGCATAAGAAAATACTTCTCTTAAACTACAGTTATTTGTCCTTCAGTTAAATCCTGATATGTCAAGCCACCTGATGTTTCATTTTCAGTTCTATGTGCGTATTACAGAAATTTATAAGAATGGTATGCTCACTCTTTCTGTGTGGCTTCATGCTCGAACTTCGCAGCAAACAGCCAATCCTGGGAGTCACTATCTGCCTAGACATTACTATTGGGAACAGTCTTAGATCACTTATCCTGATTTCAGCTCTTAGAAAGGCAGAAAGTATTCTGAAGTGCCTATTAAAAACTGATTGTACGTATTATCTGTATTCAATGCTAGCTGCTATTTTAACCAGAACTGAAGGTGCTCAGTCTTTGCAACAGGAATTTGCATTTACCATAGCAAGATCGATAAAAGCATAGCAGCCCGATAAAAGAGTGTAGCAGTAGAGGTGCTTTTCTTAATTGCTGTATAACAATTTTGAAGTGTTATGACTGATTCCATTGAAATGTTCATTTTTGAGTGATTTTTTAGAACTCAAAATTAAAGAATGCCCTGATTAGGAGCAATGTCCATACTATGTAGCATGATTGAGAGAGTAATATGTTTTCATTTTTGCAGATCTCGTGAAGAACTCAGAATACAATTTAAGTAATTGCTCATTAAGTAGTTCTGAGAACCCATATGCTACTATAAAAGACCCACCAGCTCTTGTACCAAAAAGTTCAGAATGCGGATATGTTGAAATGAAGTCACCAGCGCGCAGGGACTCCCCATATGCTGAGATTGCTGGCTCTGCTTCAGCCAATAAGAATGTTTATGAAGTTGGTAAGTACAAAATCTAGTTCTAGATGTTGAAGGTTAAGAACAAAGAGCACAGGACTTTTTTTCTTTGAGTCAGTTTAATCAAAAAGAGGAGAAATCACTGAAAAAAAATATTATGTGTTCAGATTTTGTTTTCTGCTCAAAAACTGTAACAACAATCTTAATATTTTTTGATATAAGTGGTGTAATTCACAAGAACAGAGTATGAAATACCTTCAAGTCTGTTCTATAACCTACAGCTACCTCTGAATTTACCTGGTTTGAAAGCCTTTCTTTAAACAACAGCATAAGATAAGCTTAACATTTGATTGCAATATAATTCAGCTTTGGATTAGGCTGCTAAGTACTGCACGCAGCAGTACGTGTATGGGAAGAACTGAAAAGATCCGTTTCCTTCTCTTGATCAGAAAAACCAGCATCTTCACCCACAGACATAGTATTTGATTACTATCTGATTACTTTATTTCTGTAGCTACAGAAAACTTCGGGGGCTTGTGGAATGGTACTTATCCTAATGATATCTGGACTGGTATAAAGTGTATGTTACATACTAGTGGATACCAGTGGATACTGTTTTCCATTTTTGTCCCCAATTAGAGATTCCTCTGAAATCCATCAACATCCCCATTGTGTTTCTAAGGATTTTTATAAAACCTTGATTAAAAGCCCCAGTCATGGACATATTTTTTTTTCTTTGTCAAGACACAAAGAACAGATGCTGGTCCTCTTGCTTCTGTCAGTAACTATATTCATGGCGGGTCCCTGCTGCAGAGGTGTGATGTAGCGTAAAGCCAAAACACCTTAACATCAAACTTTGGTTCTACACCTGCTTTTCAGGACTCAGCAGGACAAGGGATCTTTATAATGAAGCAGAAAGGAGAGGATACTTCGTAATGCAAACTGAAATAAAATACGGTGTTTGCCTTCTGTTTGCAGCTTCTAGTGCTGAATGTATGTGCTCTCTTTTATCACAGAACCTACTGTGAGCGTTGTCCAGGGAGCATTCAGCAGCAGCGGACGTTTCAGCCAGGACCCGTATGATCTTCCAAAAAACAGCCATATTCCGTGTCATTATGACTTGCTACCAGTTCGAGATAGCCCCACATCCTCTACGAAGGAGATCAGCAGTGAATGACCCCAAAAGCTGATGTGGGAGCACAGTGGGACTTCCAAGGGGCAAAGTGGCATGGTTGTGCTCCTTCCTCTAGTTTACCAGACTTTAGATTATTTAATTACCTTACTTTCTGGTCCTTATCAGTATCAGAGTCTGGGAATCAGAACAACAGTATGTAACATTGTTGTTTTCCACAGTCTTGGTCTAACTAAAATTCAGGCTCAAATCCGGGTTTTTTTAGTAAAGGGTTTCAGTCATGTGCTCAATGTTCAACTTTACATTTTCTTAGAGCATTTGTACTAGCACTTAAGACTCCTAGGGATACTGCCTATGGTTTTGTTTATAGAGATATTGTGTAGATAAAATGATTTTACGTTTTTTAAGGGTTCTGGCACAGTGCCAGAATACAATTGGATTAAAAAATTAATACTTCATAATATCAATAAAAGCTATTTGAATGAATTAGTAACCATGTAAGTACCAGGTCTCTGAAGACAGTTGTCAGCATTGCTGATTGATGATGCTTATATTGGGGTTTCTATGGAGAGAAATCTGTTACTAACAGATAATTGCAAAGATTGGGCACTTGGTGTTTAGGCCATTCCTGCAGATCAAGGGACTGGAACAGAGTGACCTTGGACAACACAATGGGAGTGATTAACTTTGCAAGCAAAGTACCAAGAATTGGAGTGAACTTTGCGTACCCTGAGAATTTTGCCTTTCTGGTAGATATGGTTTATCCAAACAAAAAATACACTTTAATCAAACAGCAATTATTAGGCTCATTCAAGAGTAACTGAGGGAAACGTAATGTCCTGTGACATATGTGAAGACAAACCAGATAATTTAATGGTCCCATATGACCTTAAACCACCGTTCCATTCAGGAACTACTGTTTGAAAGTGCACAATACCAACAATGCTTCTGTATCTCTGTACTGAGCAGTTTCACAGTTTCTACCTTATTCAGCTAAGGTAGAAATTAGTCCCAAAGCATTTTTTAAAGCTTTAGAAGATGTTATCCAGTCACTTTTCTTTGATTTTAAAACTATTGTTTTTCCTATAATTTTTCTCAGGTGCTTTTGGACTTGATAGGGGATATTTGGGAAAGTCCCTGAAAGGTGAGTTTATTTTCTGATGCATTTACATGAAATGACATAGACATTCAGTTTACTCTTCTAAATTATCTTTGGCTTCTGGGTGAAGAGACTGTAAAATAATTTTGGACTAAATTATTCCTAGACACTGAATCAATGCTTGAAGTTTGTTTGCTTTTTATTTTTTTTGAGGGGAGGGATGTAAAGAAAAAAACAACCAAAACCAAAGCAAGCCTTTCTAAGTCCCCTATGTGTCACATACATTAAATGTTTCTGTAATGCTTGAGTCATGGAATGGCTCTATGCTAAACAACAGAAGAGGGGTGGCCCTTGAATTCAGCCAGGTAAGGGTGCACGCTGCCTCTTACATGCAAGCTGTGAAAGGCTTTTAAAAGAGAAATAATTCCTCTTGGAAATGGCGCGGTCAATGTAGGACTGCATGACTGTGAGCCTGCAGTGCTTCATCACAGTCACTGCAGGCCTTTGGAAAGGATATAAAAATGTGAATACACAGAGAGGCTTCAGAAAAAAAGGCTTCAGAAATTCAGGGTAGTGATGATGTTTTGATCTTTGAACTTTATATTAGACCATACTGGTGTGTGCCACTATTTTTGTTGTATGATTAAGTCATGCCAAGGGTGACTGGAATGCTTGGATATCCAAACAAAGAAAAAAGCTTAGATCTAAGTCCATACAAATAATGAGTTAAATATGTAGAAAAAAGCAGCTGGTTTGTCACCTTGTGTATAATACAGGACAATTTAGCTGAAGGAAGGATTCATTATACCTGACATTTCCTGATTTTGGAGGATTAGGAGAAGCCCAATTTAAAATATCTAAAGGAGTCACAAAGTTATGTGCACCTATCCACTGACAGGTTCACCAAGGTCAGTCTCATGCTGGATAATCAGAGTTGGGAAGAATCTGAGAAAGTCTCTGTTATGAAGCTTAACTAACATAGCATATCACAAAACAACACAGAGAACAAAGTAACATGGATACCACAAAATCTCTTCCCAGCATAAGAAAATACTTCTCTTAAACTACAGTTATTTGTCCTTCAGTTAAATCCTGATATGTCAAGCCACCTGATGTTTCATTTTCAGTTCTATGTGCGTATTACAGAAATTTATAAGAATGGTATGCTCACTCTTTCTGTGTGGCTTCATGCTCGAACTTCGCAGCAAACAGCCAATCCTGGGAGTCACTATCTGCCTAGACATTACTATTGGGAACAGTCTTAGATCACTTATCCTGATTTCAGCTCTTAGAAAGGCAGAAAGTATTCTGAAGTGCCTATTAAAAACTGATTGTACGTATTATCTGTATTCAATGCTAGCTGCTATTTTAACCAGAACTGAAGGTGCTCAGTCTTTGCAACAGGAATTTGCATTTACCATAGCAAGATCGATAAAAGCATAGCAGCCCGATAAAAGAGTGTAGCAGTAGAGGTGCTTTTCTTAATTGCTGTATAACAATTTTGAAGTGTTATGACTGATTCCATTGAAATGTTCATTTTTGAGTGATTTTTTAGAACTCAAAATTAAAGAATGCCCTGATTAGGAGCAATGTCCATACTATGTAGCATGATTGAGAGAGTAATATGTTTTCATTTTTGCAGATCTCGTGAAGAACTCAGAATACAATTTAAGTAATTGCTCATTAAGTAGTTCTGAGAACCCATATGCTACTATAAAAGACCCACCAGCTCTTGTACCAAAAAGTTCAGAATGCGGATATGTTGAAATGAAGTCACCAGCGCGCAGGGACTCCCCATATGCTGAGATTGCTGGCTCTGCTTCAGCCAATAAGAATGTTTATGAAGTTGGTAAGTACAAAATCTAGTTCTAGATGTTGAAGGTTAAGAACAAAGAGCACAGGACTTTTTTTCTTTGAGTCAGTTTAATCAAAAAGAGGAGAAATCACTGAAAAAAAATATTATGTGTTCAGATTTTGTTTTCTGCTCAAAAACTGTAACAACAATCTTAATATTTTTTGATATAAGTGGTGTAATTCACAAGAACAGAGTATGAAATACCTTCAAGTCTGTTCTATAACCTACAGCTACCTCTGAATTTACCTGGTTTGAAAGCCTTTCTTTAAACAACAGCATAAGATAAGCTTAACATTTGATTGCAATATAATTCAGCTTTGGATTAGGCTGCTAAGTACTGCACGCAGCAGTACGTGTATGGGAAGAACTGAAAAGATCCGTTTCCTTCTCTTGATCAGAAAAACCAGCATCTTCACCCACAGACATAGTATTTGATTACTATCTGATTACTTTATTTCTGTAGCTACAGAAAACTTCGGGGGCTTGTGGAATGGTACTTATCCTAATGATATCTGGACTGGTATAAAGTGTATGTTACATACTAGTGGATACCAGTGGATACTGTTTTCCATTTTTGTCCCCAATTAGAGATTCCTCTGAAATCCATCAACATCCCCATTGTGTTTCTAAGGATTTTTATAAAACCTTGATTAAAAGCCCCAGTCATGGACATATTTTTTTTTCTTTGTCAAGACACAAAGAACAGATGCTGGTCCTCTTGCTTCTGTCAGTAACTATATTCATGGCGGGTCCCTGCTGCAGAGGTGTGATGTAGCGTAAAGCCAAAACACCTTAACATCAAACTTTGGTTCTACACCTGCTTTTCAGGACTCAGCAGGACAAGGGATCTTTATAATGAAGCAGAAAGGAGAGGATACTTCGTAATGCAAACTGAAATAAAATACGGTGTTTGCCTTCTGTTTGCAGCTTCTAGTGCTGAATGTATGTGCTCTCTTTTATCACAGAACCTACTGTGAGCGTTGTCCAGGGAGCATTCAGCAGCAGCGGACGTTTCAGCCAGGACCCGTATGATCTTCCAAAAAACAGCCATATTCCGTGTCATTATGACTTGCTACCAGTTCGAGATAGCCCCACATCCTCTACGAAGGAGATCAGCAGTGAATGACCCCAAAAGCTGATGTGGGAGCACAGTGGGACTTCCAAGGGGCAAAGTGGCATGGTTGTGCTCCTTCCTCTAGTTTACCATCATGTTTGGCTCCTAATCTGTCCAGCAGACAATTGCTGTACATTAAACAGAATCTCAACATGAGGTTTGTATTCTGTATAAAAGTGACAGATGGACAAATGCCACACTCTGGGGATCCTGATCATTCTTTTTTTCATGGCAGTAAATTTTATAGAAACAGGTATGCAACACATTTATACTGTAATATACTGGCTTAAAAATATTAGTTTGCAGATCAGTTTTGATAACATCCCATTTCAGCGACTTTCAATATAGACTTCACATTTGTCATGTTTCAGAGTAGAAATACTCCCAGGACAGTGCAATTTACCAAATACCACTTCATACAGGTGATCTGATTTGCTAGTTATGTAGAAGATAAACTGTCTTGCCAAATTTTACCTTCCATTCTGATCTTTAGTCAAGACATATTAAGCAACAAGATCTGATGGGGATAAATAAGAACAATACTGCAGTTTTGAAAATCCATCATCAGGCTTCTTTTGTCCATTATTTGTGGTGGGCAAACCTTGCTTGAATAGTTTTGGAGATAAAAGCATTGCATACATCAATATTATATGATGCCTCAAGATCTCTTGGTACTTCAGACCCAGCACCAGTCTGCAACAAGTCCTTTGCTACCGTTCAGCTGCATATGTTGCAATACTGACCACTATTTATGCCATACACAACTAATAATCCATAACATATCAATAATTACTTCATAAAATATGTAAATTAAATCAGTTTATTTTTGTCACCATGGACTGGTTATGTAAGGAGTGGACAAAGGTGATGACTGCTGTAAATCTTAACTTCAAGGAAAGGTTTACATTTTATAAACAGGTAGTAATAATGACTGTAATATAGAATAAAATAGTAAAGTGTTCTGATGGGTTTTTTTTCTTAGAAATAACTAAGCAATCTCTGTGCATACTTGCTAAAAATGCACCTTTTCTTTTCTATAGTTGATGTAGAAAAACACATGCTTAAGCTGGTCTTTTGCATTGCTAATATTGTGACACATGTACCCCCCATTCTTCATTAACTTGTGTCTCCATTTTTATGCTGCGTGTCTGTGTTTCTAGTGATCTAGCTTGTAATTGCAAAAATATTCTACTGTGTATCCATTTGTTCTGCATTTTTGCCAACTGGCCTTTATTTTGTCTGGTTAAAGGGACCTCTGGGCAGAAGGAGAGGATTAAAGAAAGAATTCATGTCATACCAATGTCTATCAAACAGAGTGGGTTAGCTAATACAGAATAGTTGAATTTAATTAATTACTTGGGGAAAAAAATCAAGGTGTTTTTGTTGAGGATAATAATAAGAATGCAGAACAAAAGTAAAAACCAGTCCCTCTTTAAAATTTAGCTTACTCTATTGACGATATGGATGGAGACCATCTTTTCAAAAGACTTCTTTCTCTCCCTCCAAACAAAATAGTCTGTTATGAACGGTGCAGTCCCGTGGAAATTAAATTTGCCAAAGTACCCATCCATTGAAGGAAAATTGTCCCCCAAGGAAGTCAACCTGAAAAAAAAAATGGTTGATACAGACTGGACATTCTCTTCCAGTGGAAAGTCAGCTTTATAAGCCTAAAAGTGATGTGGCAGTACTACTTTCAGCTGCGGCTGCTGTCAGTGATGCTGCTTGCTAACATGCTTGTAACAGAACCCACGCAGGCTTTTCCACTCTGCCTGGCGGTAGCTCCACAGCTGGTTCTGAATAGCTTGTTGCAAGGGCTGGTATATTCCTGATTGAGGTGGAAAAGATACAGGCAGTTACGATGAGTAGCATATAATGGGAAGCACTAGTCCTTTCTTCTTTCTCTGTGGGGTTCACATTTTGGCACATGAGGCCTGTGATACACTGTAAGGATGGGATGGGCAGTTGATAGGTCAAGAGTTTGGTGTATGTACTTTCTGGCTTACCACAGGGAGTGCCACAACCATTTATATCTGTACATATGGACTGCAATACAGTCCGAGACAAAGAATTATCGCTGTTGTGACAGCATTGATAGATTTTCCTAAGAAAATCACAGCCGGTTGCCTTTGGAATACCAAATGCAGCAGAGGATCAACTGGAAGAAAAACTGAACAAAACTTCTAGAGAGTTTTTTTAAAAGGAACCCCAGAGCTGAAATGGAAATACAATTTGATTTGTTGTCACTGAAGTGGTGATAAATGAGAGATCTGCATCCAAAGACATCGTTGTGGATGTGCCTAAGCCTGAGAAGGTATATGCCTTTATGAAGTGCCCCGTAGTCTTGGTTCTCACTGGCCATGGGTGCTGGCAGTTTTCCAATACCCTGGGCATTTCCTGTATATCCTTGGAATAATTAATTTGATCGTCTTTGGATTTTGCAAGTACAGAAATTAACTACAGGATTTCAAAAGCCAGTTACCATTTAATCCCTCCATAAGACAAAGTATTGATTTGGTTTGTGTGCGAATAGATAACATGTAGAGCTACTGGTATATACATGTGTTTTGTACTGTGTGAAACAGACTTTGAAATAAAACCTTTCTTCTCTGAAGCCATGAATAGCAAATGCTGTATTTAGCAATTGTGAGCTCACAAAAATTTATTTTCTTACTGTGTGTAAAATTTGGACACCACTAGGTAAATTAATCTTCATGATATAAACAATTCTTTTTTATGCAAAAAAGTGAAGAGCTGAATATAATTGGTTGAAAATTTCCAGTATGTCACATATCCTCAAGTGATACAATCAGCCAAATACTCATGAAAAAAGATGAGTTTCTGATAATTTTGCCTATTGTGTATGTTCTAAATATACGCATTACCAAAGTCTTTCTTTCTACGTGTGGGTAAAACTTCTGTGTAGTCAGCATAAGCAATGTCTGCATATATCTGAGCCGGATTTGCATTACATATAGGTCAAGTAAATGACTTGTAAATTTACTTCAGTGAGTGATCATTGATAGACACTCAGAAAACAGATTGCCTGCAGGGGTATTCTTGTTAAACGATAGCTGTGTATCATTCCAGAGGAAAAAGGCTCATGGGACTTGCAATCCTGCTGTCTCCTGCCTGGCTAGGGAGGCTTGCTGTGGAGTACACGCTGCTGTCAATTTAAAAGACCCCCAACTTGATCCTCATGAGTGTCACACTGCCTTTCTGTAGATCCCAGCGTGCTCTTTAGAGAACTTCAATTTCAGAACATGCATACATATTGTGATGGGGACTTAATGAGTAACGATAAAATAATTTTTGTAATCGCCATCTACTCAGAGAACTGGCTTCACCATAGACGTGAATGGAAAGAGATGCCTTGCCTCTATACATTCACATTACAATAGTGAGAAATACAGCATTGAAAATGGAGATAGCTATCCCCTAGCAAGATGTTCTCAGTTTATTAAAGTGAAAAATGCTGCACAAAGTTAATAGCTGATTTTAAGGTAAGTAGTGAGTATAAACTTTAGGTTTTAAATACTGTAGGCATATTAATTCCGGTCATGTAGAAGCATAATGAACTTCATGGCTTTTTACTGTATCAAAGATTTTTAATCACAGCACAATGTTACCCCCCCCCAAAAAAAGTCCTTATCTTGATCTACCCAGAGAACTCCCATTAATTTTAATTGGAGATGCGCATGCAGATTACAGGGGTAAGAGGATTTCATTGTACTCATTCTTTCCGCTGAGACAATCTGCAAAGCGAAGTTAATATTGAAGTTAGGATAAAACAGAAAGTTTCAAAAGTGGGGAATGTGTTATTTAAAATATATTGGATTTTCCCAAAACTGTGACTACAGTTTCATTTTTATTAGATATGTGTCCAAATAATAGTCCTTAAACTGAAGCTCTAAAGTCCAGACTAAAGAATACAGAGCTAATTTTGACAAAAATGCTTTATATTAAAGATTGTATTGGTAGTAGTGTAAATGACTGAAAACAAATCAGTGCATGGTTATTAATTACTGTACAAAAAATCTTGCCATTTGGTATGCTCATACTAGCACTAGAGCACTGAACCTAACTCTTTTATCTTCAGCTTTTTATCCCACAAGACTTCACTTTGATATGATTGAACTGTAATATATTTTTAAAGAAGACCTATCAAGTATGCCTGGCTTTGTTTTTTCTTAGCTGTAACAAAAAAGTGTTTTGTTGTGAAAATATATATATTTTCCAAAGATGACTGATATTCATCATTCTGCCCTTCACTACCATTTATTTCACTTCACATGCCTTTAGGTTAATTTAATAAAGTTTCTAACATAAGATGGGAAATATTTTGAATTTTTTTCCTTTATTTTTCATTTGCTTAAGATGGATCTTGAAATAGCATGGGAAATACAAAAAATGTTGTCCTTGCCTGTGCTGGACCACCAAGTAATGTGTATTATGAGGTGCTTTGTGGAAAATCAAGGCTGATTTTGAACTGCTGAACTTTGATTACTATCTGTTCCTACAGGAGTTAATTCTGTAACTGAGGCTGTCTTTCAAGCCTCTCACTTGAAGGCTTAAAGCTTCAACCTTCAAAAAGATGGAAAGCTGAGTTGCCAAAAGCAAGGCAATTCCCTTTTTAGTAGGATAGTAGCCTTTGATTAACCATTCAAAATGCAATCACCAAAGTACAAACATGGCATAAAATGGGCTAACATATTGTAATTTCTGATTTGTAATACTTATCTACTAAGATAAAACTAAAGCTATGGCAACAGAAGAAAATTGTTCTTTACGATCACACTCAGATCAAACATGAGAGATGTGGCATTAAAAACTAATCATAGGAAAAGAGAAGAACAGAATGATTTGGATGGGAAAGAAACCAGGCAAGAGGGAGCCATGTCCTGCCTGTACCCTGCCATGGGAGGAATCAGGGGAGCGTAGAAGGCTGGCCAGCAGTGCCTAAAAAAGAGGCGTTTGGACAATGCCCTTAAGAATGGGCCTTATCTTTTGGTCAGCCCTGGAGTGGGCAGCCAGTTGGACTAGATGATCCTTCTAGGTCCCTTCCAACTGGAACTGTTCTCCTCCATTCTATTCTATGCTGTCCTATCCTATCCTATCCTATCCTATCCTATCCTATCCTATCCTATCCTATCCTATCCTATCCTATCCTATCCTATCCTATCCCATTGGTTTCTATTCTATTCTATTCTATTCTATTCTATTCTATTCTATTCTATTCTATTCTATTCTATTCTATTCTATTCCAATTCATTTAATTCCTATGGATGTGATCTATCTGGATTTCTGTTTGTTCCTCAAGGGTCCGTGCTGTTCCTCAAGGGTCCGTGCTGGGGCCAATACTGTTTAACATTTTTATCAATTATATAGACAGGGAGATTAAAGGCACCATCAGCAAGTTTGCGGACGATACCAAGCTGTGTGGTGTTGTCGATACACCAGAGGGACGGGATGTCATCCAAAAGGACCTGGACAGGCTGGAGAGGTGGGCCCATGTGAACCTCATGAGGTTCAACAAGAGCAAATGCAAGGTTCTGCACCTGGGCCGGAACAATCCTCGCCACCAATACAAACTAGGGGGTGAGGTGTTGGAAAGCAGCCCTGAAGAAAGGGACTTGGGGGTGCTGGTGGATGAGAAGCTGGACATGAGCAGGCAGTGTGCAGTTGCAGCCCAGAAGGCCAATCGCATCCTGGGCTGCATCAAAAGATGCGTTGCCAGCAGGTCCAGAGAGGTGATTCTGCCACTTTACTCTGCTCTGGTGAGACCTCACCTGGAGTCTTGTGTGCAGCTCTGGAGCCCTCAATATAAGAAGGACATGGACCTGATGGAGAGGGTCCAGAGGAGGGCCACAAGGATGATCAGGGGGATGGAGCACCTCTGCTATGAGGACAGGCTGAGGGAGCTGGGGTTGTTCAGCCTGGAGAAGAGGAGGCTCCGCGGAGACCTAATAGCAGCCTTCCAGTACCTGAAGGGAGCCTACAGGAAGGCTGGAGAGAACCTGTTTAGAAAGGCCTGCAGTGACAGGACGAGGGGCAATGGCTTTAAGCTGGAGGGGAACAGATTTAGACTGAAGATTAGGAGAGCGTTCTTCACTGTGAGGGTGGTGGAGCACTGGAACAGGCTGCCCAGGGAGGTGGTTGAGGCCCCATCCCTGGAGATATTCAAAGAGAGGCCCTGGGCAACCTGGTCTAGTTGGGGGTGTCCCTGCCGACTGCGGGGAGGTCGGACTAGATGACCTTTGGAGGTCCCTTCCGACCTGGGAAATTCTATGATTCTATGAATTCCTGTACATGGCAGTTCTGTGTGAAAAGAACTGGGAATCCTGTCTGGGCGGAGCAGAGACCAGCCAGCTCTGCTATGATGTACCCATGGTACCTGCTTTTGAGTGATTACCTCTCACATCCTTCTGTTCTCTCTACTAATACATTTAAGTTCTCAGAGAAAATGTGGGAGAATGTACACATTCTAACGGGATACAAGCAAAGAAGAGGAAGATATTCTGCCAGAGATAAGGTTGCTTTCCTGCGTTCAATGTGGCTTCACATCACTCACAAAATAGGCCTTATGGGTTTCAGCAAGGCCACTGCCCACATTAGACAGCGGACAACTTCTTAATGCATTTAAGTGTACAGTTATTAATAAAAGGTACCACTTCTCCCTCCCATCTCCAAATACACTCCTTTAGGTCCACAACAGCAAAAAATAAGATGTGTAATATCTATTCCAAGTTCTCTGTACTTCTATTGTAAATCAATGTGACAACGTCTTCCATGTTTCTCCTTTAGTTTCAACAAAGAAGGAAACCTGGCAAGCAAGAGAGGGACCCCCAAAGGGATGCAGTGCCTGGATGGGGCCTGACGGGCACCGAGCAGAGGGGATCACCCTTGTGCCCTTTGGCTCGGGGAGAAAGATGGGAGAAAACCCATGAGAGCAAACCATGTCCTGCCTATGCCCCGTCTTCACCTCCCCCGCCGTGGGAGGAATCGGGGGAGCACAGAGGGCTGGCCAGCAGTGCTGGGGTGTGGGGAGAGCTTGGGCAACTTTGTCCTGCAGCCTCCCAGGGAGGCACGAGGGGTTATCCAATGAACCCTCTTGCCGCATGTGCCTGGAGATGACTCCGACAGCCAGAGTGACCTGTTGGGGCCCCGAGAAGACACGGGCAAGGTCTTGGTGACTGCCATGAAACACCGATGCCGAGAGCAAGACAGGAGATGGGGGGATGGATGGATGGATGGATGGATGGATGGATGGATGGATGGGTGGAGTGGTCAGTGGCGCTGACATAACCACAGATGCCTTCACTGTGGCCACTGGGGCTGTGGCTGTTGGGGCGAGCACCATGGCCCGCTGACATGACGTCCCTGAGAGATGGGTTCTGATGTCACCGAGAGCTGGGCTGTGAAGTCTGCTGGGGAGGGATGGTGACCAGGTGCCCCTCGCTGCTTATATGTGGGCACCGAGTCCCAGCCAGCCGGCTCGTGACCGCGTTCCAGCTGAGCAAGTTGGCGAGGCTGGAGTGCTGAGCGAAGCCTTGGTGCTGGTGGGGTGCCTGGGGAGTTGCTCATTGCAGCTCTCCATAGCTGACCCCAGAGCCACTGAAGAAGGTTCTTCCTCGGCCCTGCCAGGTTCAGGCAGCCGGGGAACCCAGGAGGCGCGCTCGCAGCAGCGGAGGTGAGCTGGGAGGGGAAAGCTCCCCCTGGGCAGCCGCCAGGGCTTCCTTCCTGCGGGACCTGGGCATTTCTTCCAGCCCTCCTCAGGGCCAACCAACCATTGTGGCCTCTTTTCCTTCTCTAGCGTGACAGCGCCTGCTGCAGCGCCAGCCAGAGGGAGCGGCTCAACATCTCCAGCTCCCCACAGCCCAGCGCAGCCCACGGAGAGCATGGCCACCGGGCTGGACGACCGCTGTCCCATCTGCCTGGACAGCTGGGAGGAGCCCAGCCACCTGATGCCATGCCTGCACCGGTTCTGCTACCGGTGCATCCTGCACTGGGCTCAGAGCAAGCCCGAGTGCCCCCTTTGCAAGAGGAGGATCACTTCCATCCTGCACTTGGTGGAGGCGGATGACGACTTTGAAGAACATTTCGTCACACCACCTCATCTGGGCGGCCTCCAGCCCAGCACCTGGGCCTCCCTCTTCCGCGACCACCCCGCTCTCCTCCGGACCGTTCGGACCTGGATGCGCCAGGAGCTGCGGCGGATGTTTGGGAGCCATCACTCACGGGCGGAGGTAGTGGAGATCCTCGCCATGCCCCTCCTGGAGCTTTTTGGGCTGGATGAAGAGATGCTGGTCCAGCTGCTGAGGGCCTGCCTCCAAAACCGCACAGCAACATTCGTCCGCCGCCTGATCGAGGCTGCCGTGCAAGAGTGCAGCGGGGAGGTCTGCCGTCTGCTGGGCCTGGAGGAAGGCCATGCTGCCCAGGAGCGGAGGGAGAGCCCCGCGGCTTCCTCCAGACCTGCTGCCTCCCGAGGAGGCTCTTCTACAGCTGGCCCGGCCCCCTCCCACAGCCTGCAAGGAGCCAACAGGGAGGAGCTCCCCAGCACCTCAGCAGCTGCCCCTCGCGGGGCTGCCGGCAGCTCTCCCTCTGCCCCAGCTCCTCTCCCCGGGCACCAAGAGGAGCCCCAGGACGCCGCAGAACCTCCATCCACTTCCAGTGGCGCCACGGAAGGCTCCCGGGGGGACCCACGGCATCCCCCAAAGAGAAGGTCCGGCAGCCACGAGGCCTCTTCTCCAGCCAAGAAGAGGCCACCCCACCAGCAGCACTAGAACAACGCCCCAGCCACTGCCAAAACCACCGCTGCGCCAGCAGCTGGGGCATGCACCGGCCCTCAAGGCCTCCCAGCCCTCTCAGCCTCCTCATCAGGCTCTAACAGAAAATAAAGGCCTTGAGACTGGAGAAAGTGTCTGCGTGTCACTAACCCTCACCCCCACCTCTATTACTTTCTACCCCTTTTGCCTGGGGCTAGGCCCACCCTTTCCTGGGTAGACAAACAATGGAACCGGCTTCCTGCAGAGATGCCTCAACCCTGTCAATGCCTAAAAAAGAGGCGTTTGGACAATGCCCTTAAGAATAGACCTTAACTCCTGCCCTGGAGTGGGCAGCCAGTGGGACTAGATGATCCTTCTAGGTCCCTTCCAACTGGAACTATTCTCCTCCATTCTATTCTATGCTGTCCTATCCTATCCTATCCTATCCTATCCTATCCTATCCTATCCCATCCCATCCTATCCTGTCCCATTGGTTTTTATTCTATTCTATTCTATTCTATTCTAT